GAAAGACTCCGCCTAAATAAGGCGATATCGAAGAGTTATGATACCAATCTTGTACAGTTTTGTGACGAACACTTCTGCAGAAGATATAGCTGTTCGCTGAGGGATATGGTACCCAGCGTGAACAGCAATTAAGGAATAGTGATTTTGAAAGACTTTAAATGTCGTCTGGCGCAGTGGAGGTGAAACTCGACTGCGGTAGCAAGGGTCCCTGGTTCGAATCCAGGTTCGAGAGATTTGTAAATGTGTAGTGGGTTGGGTTGATAGAGTAGCCTTGGCTGAAACCCCGCCCACTTAAAAATAAAAATAAAGATAAGCTTGGAAATTGACGCCAGCAATGACGTGACATCACTTTCTGTGAAAGCGGAAAAGAACGGAAGGTATTCGTTACTCCCTTTGGCCATTTCCTCTGAACATCATGGTCAGGAACAAAGACTCTCTTTATTAAAGTACCATATACCCACCTACCGAGGCCGTGTATAATTTATCAACTTTAGGGACGGGGCTATATATACAGTGGGGTCGGCGACATCGGGGTGCCATTCCTTTTGGGTCCTCTCCTGTTTCTCTTGTTCGTTAACGACTTACCAGACTTTGTGGATTCTAGTACTCCCTTGCTATTCGCAGATGACGTTAAGATCAGTCGTAAAATTACTAATGTAGGCGACTGTCTACAGTTACAATCAGATTTAAATGCAGTAGCAAATTGGGTAAAAATTAACGATTTGTCCTTAAACAAGTGTAAAATCATAAGGTTCTCAAGGAAGAAGACGGACTATAATTTTTCTTATAAGTTGCATGGGGAGCGTCTGGCGAGTGTCAGTTGTCAAAAAGACCTGGGAGTGATTTTCGATAACAGGTTAAACTTTACTGTGCATATAAACGATCTTATCAAAAAGGCACACGGCACCTTGGGCTTCATTCTTAGATCCACATCAAATTTTAAATCGTTAAATTCCTATAAAATTCTGTACAATTCCCTGTTTATACCTCCGCATCTATCATCTGGTCACCGCATACACAGAAATATAGTCATGCTATAGAACGAATACAAAATAAATTTTTTCTATTTCGGTGTCACAATGATGATTTTGTACAACTGCTTTCGGCCGAAAACAGTTGTACAAAGACAGTGATTATAGTCGTTTTTTGGTAACTCATCTCTTAAGTTGGCAGTTACTAGTTAGTACAAGTAGGTACTTCGTTGGGTACTTCCATGTTTGAACTTCAAAATGTCACCCTTACTACGCTGCCAACCCAAAACTTAACGGCATAAAAAGTGTTCCCAACATAAAACATGTTCTAATGTTCCCTATAGTTTCTGATAATGATCTTTTTAATTAAATTAAAGCACCGAAATAGAAAAAATAGTATGAAAAACGCGTGTTACAATGCTTTATTGTAATACTCCTATCTTGCGGACACTCGTGGCTACGCTTCGCGTCGCCACTCGTACCACAAGATAGTCTTATTACAATAGGTCGCATTGTAACACTTGTCTTTCAATATATGAATATACTATATTCGCTGCTTACGCTACAGAATCACGTCAGTATATCCTCGCTTTCATCACTACGTTGTGATTTAGAAGTTCGTCGACGAAATTCGGCAATAATATTTCTTTATAAATTGGTTAACGGGCAAATAGAGTCTCCATATTTGTTGTCATTAATTAATTTTTATACTTCAGATCATAGAACTAGGCCAAAATCAATTCTATTTAAAGTTCCCATATGCAGATCTAATACTTTCCGTAACTCTCCTGCTGTTAATCGCATGATGAGATTATGCAACGATCTAACTCCTGAGCTGCGGCTATTTGGTGTGCCCTTATCACAATTGAAACAACATTTAAATAACATCTAGAAATTGTCAACATAATATTACAAATCAGTAAGTTAGCGTAGGTGAATTTTATTTTATTTTAATTTTATTTTATTTTTATTATTGTTATTATTATCTTTTCTGTAAACTACAAATTGGTCTGCAGAACAGTTATTGGGCATTGCCTGTTGTTCTGCAAAGTTTTTTGAATAAATAAATAAATAAATTCCTGATCGTGTTATACTATAATCTGGAGATATTTTTTCCTATCTTCTACAGTTTTGGTTTTCAAATTGATAATGAAATAGTATATTGAAAGACAAGTGTTACAATGCGACCTTGTAATACGACTATCTTGTGGCACGAGTGGCGTAGCGAAGCGGAGCCACGAGTGTCCACAAGATAGGAGTATTACAATAAAGCATTGTAACACGCGTTTTTCATACTATTTTTTCTATTTCGGTGGTTTAATTTAATTTAAAAAATCATTATCAGAAACTATAGGGAACATTAGAACTAACATGTTTTATGTTGGGAACACTTTTTATGCCGTTAAGTTTTAGGTTGGCAGCGTAGTAAGACTGACATTTTGAAGTTCAAACATGGAAGTACCCAACGAAGTACCTACTTGTACTAACTAGTAACTGCCAACTTAAGAGATGAGTTACCAAAAAAAAAACGACTATAATCACTGTCTTTGTACAACTGTTTTCGGCCGAAAACAGTTGTACAAAATCATCATTGTGACACCGAAATAGAAAAAATCTTGTAAACGCCCACAACCTCTGCGTGCGTGGCGGAATTTTGTTTTTTTTCCTAGGTGCGAAATTCAACCTCCTTTTGCAAGGCGCGCTTCTTCGAGGGGTGACCGACTTTGGGCGCCTAAAAGTTTCTTAGAGCCGACAAGATCTTACTGATGGTGGAGTCAAACGTTCAAACCCGAATTTCGGGTAAACAGGATATCAGAGGAGGGTACTGTCAAAGGGAATGGAGTAAGAAGCCCCGACGAGATCTTACATCAGAAGGTGGAATCAACGCGAAACACGGGACTTTGGAAGCCGGTACCGATAAAGGAAATGTAGCCTTCGACCAGATCTTATGGATTGTGGAGTCAAAACTGGCTAATAGAATGCCGATCTGCCACACAAAAATGCGCTGAAGTCCCTTCGATGATACGCGGGGACTTTGATAATTGTTTATAAATGTGAACCGGTCTATTATGCTGTTGTACTTCTTTACAAATTAGAACTTCCATCTAACAATGTATAATTTTGATCTGGGCTTTGAATATAAAATATAGGATCTGAGTTAGTAGATTCGCGAAGAATAAGTAATACCATAGTGTAATGGGGCCCCTTCACGTGCATTCCGGGAACGACGCGCCATCGGTTTTGGAACAAAGCGTGGTGTGCCAACTTCTGGCGCGTTGTGCAGTGAATAAACTACACATTCGCGCCATTTCATTCATTCCAGTGTGGTACTGTCGACAACAAGATGAGTTTGGTAAAAAAAATGGCAAATTGCAGCTGTAATTCTTCACAAATATATGATGGATGACGTAAATGAAGAGCCCAAGAAGAGGAGGAAGAAGTTCAACTTCAAGACATAGTATTTGAAGAGACAGAAATTTGGCAATTTGATTTTATTACAAGAAATTAATAATACCAATCCAGTGGATTACCACATGTCACACCGCACAGCACACACAAACAAACCTACAGGAGTTTTGCTAATGTAGTCTATCCTTTTTCCTCTCCAATGTTTAACAGCGCATCCTCTTCTAGCGGCGCGAAACGAAACTACACGCTCGCATTTGGCGCGCAAAGGGTCTCGCGCCACGCCAGGAATTCAAACATGTTTGATTCCATCGTTCCACGCCAGGCGCGTATCATTCATGGCGCGAGGATGAACTACACGCACAGTTTTGGATTGACGTCACTCCAAAACTTACGGAGCGTCGTTCCGGGAATGCACGTGAAGGGGCCCTTTAAGTATGTAAAATCTAAATTTAGAATTGTAGATTTGTTATGTTGTATTGCCGGCGAATACGCAACCAATCATACAACAGAGCGACAATTTAAAATATCAGCGTCGTACCGATTAAAATGTCCCTCCAAAGATCAACCAGTAAGCGGAACTTCTTTATTAAGCGGCAGGCAAAGCGATGCAAGCTTTATAGGGGAGTCAATGGTGTCCGTCTGTCCGTCCGTGAACACGATAACTGTCAAACGCTTGGACCGATATGGTTCAAACTTTGCACAGTTAATCTATAGGCCAAATGTAATAAGCCTATTGAAAATGGGTCAAATCCAAAGACCCCGTGGGGTCACACTTCTGTGTCCCTGCCAAACACTTGGACCTATTTGGTTGAAAGTTTGCACAGTAGATATACCGACGTGCTCTGTCGGTTTTTTAGATGCTCTTTAGGGGTTTATTTACATTGAACCAGTCAACCGGAACTTCTTCATTCGGGAATTTCATTCATCTGACAGCTAGGTACTCTCACACTAAAGGCCGTCGCGCACATACGCGCGGCGCGGCATAGGCTTTAAACAGTCACTTGAGCGAAGTGCTGCGTGGCGTACCTATTGAAATCAATTTGAGCGGAAAGGGTACCACGTAATTTTGTTAAACAAATAGTTCAATTATGACGAAAATAAGCGGAGTCGATCTAATGATGTTCCTCTTGGCGTCTATTGTGTGAAACCAAAATCTATTGCCTACTGCCTACTCTACCCACCATTTAGTTCACCGCGAGATCGGTGAAACAAAAACCCACATACGTCTTAGCAGAAAAGTTAGGTGTTAGAACGACAACGATATATAACCTCAGAGCGCTAATCCGTTATTGAAATTCATTCATTTTAGGAACTATATCCCATTTAACGAAGAATTCGTAGATTTCGAAAAAGTGTATCGCAGTCACGAATAATAAAATTATGAAATTAATCCAGACCATTGTACTGCGCCAATTACGGTTACTAGAATTCATGGTCTATCGAAAAATCAAAATCTAGAATGCTAAATGCTTGATGATGATGTCATTAGGCGCTTATCAAAAGTAATAATTGTATACACCTCGTACGTGTTTTGAATATCAAACAACGCGCCCTCTACAAGATTTATTGTAAAGCAAACAAATTACTTGACTGATTTCTCTTTCTCTGTTGTTATGAATGACCAATGCGATAGACTGTACCTTCGCTCCTTTTTTCTTTCATTAGCGTAGTTCGGTGAGTTCAGTCAGCTGTCCGTTTGGAAAGTTGGTGAGATGGCTGCTGGTTGTTGTGGGTCAAAGAAACAGAAATTAAATAATTCCACAATTAGCGTACCGTCATGTAATGGTACTTCGATAACTACAAACGGATCTTTGAACGGCATGGTTGCTTTACCAGAAATGTGTTTCTTTTGTTTTGATGTGTTATACTGTCATCTTTATAACCTCGACCCACCAAAGACACCTTCTTTCAGTAATGAGGCCTAGTAAGTAAAAGGATCTACCATTTAAGTTGATTTTTAACAAATTTAAGCAGACTTTCTTTGAAAATTTAAAGGTCATTCAACTTCTTTGTTTAGCAATCATACTGTGTATATGACCTTGTTTTAATATACCTTTTGTTGTAGTCCTTTATTTGTCACTTGGAAAATTGGCAAAGATAAACGATTACGAGGATGTATAGGAACATTTAACGCGATGAATCTGCAATCGGGCCTGCGGGAGTATGCAATTACAAGTGCTTTTAAGGATTCTCGTTTCAACCCAATCACACGAGATGAATTCACCAAGTTAAGTGTCTCGGTATCGATACTTAGGCACTTTGAAGATGGTAACGATTATCTTGATTGGGAAGTGGGTGTCCATGGAATACGTATCGAATTTGTTAATGAGAAGGGTAACAAACGAACTGCCACATATTTACCTGAGGTTGCTACAGAGCAAGGTAATTGTATAATTTTTCGCGTTTCAATAAAATTTGTTCTTTGGCATATATTTTGGTGATTTATTTTAATATAATTGTCCGAGGTATGAGAGAATATTTGAAAAACTGCCAAGGTTACCTGCTAGTCGCTAGATCACATGTGTTCCTTTGTCTGTAAATTTGACTCGAGTTGTTGGGGAAACCGTTTACTATAAATCTTTACATTTATTGTGCCTTATTTCAAAGTAATGGGCTTTATTTCGAAATAATGCCATTACAATACTGGTAAAGGTAATGTAAAAGTAATACCTGAAATGTGCAAAGGTAATCAAGTAATGTCAATAAATACAGTTGTCCATTACAAGAGAGATGGACATGAAGACATAATGAATATACACTATTGGACAAAAGCAGAGCAAGAAAACATTTTTTTTTGTAATAAACATTATAACATGTTTGTTATGGTCTAAATTGATTTTTTGTGCACAGATACGAAATAGAAGAGAGAGAGTTAAATACCTTAAGGTGCATAATTGCAGTTTATACCGCATTGTAAATTAGCGAAGATTTATCACGCGAAAGTAAAATGGTTTCAGCTTAAAAACCGAATATAATATTGTAGATTTGTGTTGGTGAAAATATCTGGACAAAAAAAGATGACATTTAAAAGTATTTAACAGTAGTAAAGACTATAATAAAAAGTGACAAGACCTAAGTGCAAAATAATAATAATAAATTGGACATTTCATTAGCAACACACATAATAATTTTAATTTTTGATCCAAAATAGATGCTCCTCTAAAAATGTCAATAAAGTAAGATAAAACTTAAGAAAATTCAAGTAACCCGAAGAATTTAGAAAACTGAAAGAAAACTCCCTTAATTCTTCCATGCGTAAAAGGCATCACTAATGTTACAGCTTGAAACTTTCCTAGATCTCTTTTCTGGCTCATTTTTAAACATCAGTTCTTCTACACCAATTACTAAGAAACCCAAAGAGGAAGTTCAAAATGAAGATCATGGCGTTTATGAAATTTCTTGTACTCAATGTTCTAAATCCTACATTGAACAAACGAAAAGAAAATCACACATACTGGAAAACAAACAGCATAATTGAACACCCATTGAAATTAAAAAACGACCAAATTGTCTTAATAAACAAGAGGACATATTAATATTGTTATTTATAATCGATAGGCTATTTCATTTATATGTAGATTGTCATTATAAACAAAGGGGAAAGAGTGTTATATTTATGCAGAAGTAATATGTTTAATAATTATTTTTTATTATACGTACATCAGAATCGCCATTTAAAAACGGGATTAAATCATGCTGAGCTTTAAAAGTATATGACGTACCTATGAAACTGTCATCTGGGACTTAAAATAAAAAATCTTAGCTTGCTTTCTGTAAATGCAATAAATTTCTTTGGGTTGTCCCTATCCCTTGTTTGAAGATTTTACAAACGCACGTAATTTAGGGCGTACTTCCAAAACTGTTCCATTTTTTATTCGCATAATTTTTATGAAGTTTCGAATGAATACCAGCGGATAGCGGATTTATCCGTCACCAACAACTTTTCATATTCTTTGTAATAGCCTTTACTGGATTTTGTAGGTGCCGACTTTTCTTCTGCTTCTGCATACCTTTTTCAACCGGAGTCATTTTATTTATAAAGACGGTGACTTTTATAATCAAACTTCCAAGTGATTGTATGCAATTGTTATACAGGGTGACTTTACATCAAAGTTGCATTTTTTTAAATAGAGCCTCCTGTATATTATTGTATATTTCGATTCCTTGGTGTAACTTTATGTATTACACTTGATATCTAAAATGAGTCGTTTAGCCGCAAGTCGTCAATTTTCAAAAAGTAGATGTCCAAAAAAAAATTGAATATCGCAGTTATCATAAAACTTAGAAGGCCGTGACTTTGCAGTGTTGCTAACACGGTCGTATACACAGGTCTGAAAGCTGTTGTTTGAGACCAGTCTCTTACGTTTTGTCAAAATCGTAGTCCCTCGCTCAGCTACCAGGTGGCGCATGGATCGAAGTATGTTGTCTGTATTAGACGCGAACTCGGGTTCGAATTTGACGCGTGCTTTTTTTTTACTATAGTTTCATTGACCTTATGCGACCACTTTTAAATCCCACAACTTTTGTGTCCTGACAACATACTTCGATCCATGCTCCACCTGGTAGCTGAGCGAGGGACTACGATTTTGACAACACGTAAGAGACTGGTCTCAGACAACAGTTTTCAGACCTGTGTATACGACCGTGTTAGTAACACTGCAGAGTCACGGCCTACTAAGTTTTGTGATAACTGCGATATTCAATTTTCTTTTTAGACATGTACTTTTTGAAAATTGACGAATTGCGGCTATACGACTCATTTTTGATATCAAGTGTAATACATAAAGTTACACTAAAATTTCCCAAAGAATCGAAATATACAGGGGGCTGGCTCTATTTAAAAAAATGCAACGTTTTAAATAAGCATAAGAGACAGTCAAACATTAATTTTTATTGAAATGTTGCGTATTTTGCAGCGGCAAGCGTTTATTGGTCATTAGTACACACTAGGTACGTGATTTACTGTTAGTTAAAATCGCGAATAACCTATACCCATCACTTTACAATTTCATAGTTTTTAATTTGATGGTTGGTAAGAGTGGAAACATTTGATTTGACGGTTGTTGTCATTACTGCTCTTATTTACTTTTATAATTAATTAATTTCTCTATATTTTTTCGTGTTTTTTTTCATATTTTAATAGTTATTCTGCTATTCTGGTCGAAGACGAATCCAACAAACCAAAGATGATCAAAATAGGTCCAGCCGTTAATAAGTGGTGTAACCTACACGACAGATAGATTGTTGAATTACAAAAAATATGTAAAAGGTAAATATATCCTGAGAAAGCTATTCAATTCCTACTTTTGATGCATTAAAAAAACCATTTAAAAAAATCAAGTTATCTTTGATTGAAATTTTTGAAAATTGACAAAGTGATTTCTTTTAGCACAAAAAAAGTTTAACTTTGACCGTTCGGCGTATGTTGGTACATTTCATGATAGTAACACTGCAAGAGTCACTGCCTTCTAAGTTTTATGATACTTAACTGTGATACTCAATTTTTACCCTTCATCTACTTTTTGAAAAATGTGAGTAATTGCGGCTAAACGAGTCATTTTAAATATCATGTGTAACACTGTACATACAATCACACTAAAATTCATTAAGGAATCGAAATATGTAATAATATAAAGGGGGTTCTGAACAAAATGCAACTTTAATTAAACCACCCTGTATAACAATTGCAATATCGTTGAGAATATTTTTAGGTTGTAGCCTTAAGAATCCTTCAACAGTGAATCTTAAATATGTGCGTTTCACTCCACTCAACCTCCATTCACGTTCTAATCGTCGATCCTCTATTTAGTATACAGGGTGTCTTAAATTGAGTAGGATAACATGACTATCTTTGTTATTATTATACTTACAGATTCGGTTAAATTAGCAAAGTTGTGTAGCTTTTGATGCTGATGGGTATTCCGATGGCGATATTTTGGAAAAAATAATTCGTTTCGTAGATAATTGGAAAAAAATTAAAAACGCCATTTTTAAAAAGTTCAAATATTTTACTAACAAAGGTGTATACACAAAATTTTCAAAATGGCTGTTTTCGAGATATTGACATCAACTTCCTTATTTTAAAGGGACCCCATTATTGGATTTTTACGTCACTCGATAGAGAAAAAAATTATAAAACCAGTGATACTAAACACTTAGTATTTCATTTGGGAATGAAACTTTGAGATTTTTGTCTCAAAGTTTACAATGTATTTCTTATGGAAATAATACCATGGCTGATTATGATTGAAACCAAATTCGTTCGTTTACGAGTATTGTCTCGCATAGTCACCATCGATATGGCAATGGAATTATTGCCATAAGGTATACATACATTATAATAATAACAAAGATAGCCATGTTATCCTACTCAATTTAAGTCACCCTGTATGTATAGGCAATTCATATGTATTGCAGCAAGTGGTTTCTAACAGCACGTGTCATAAGAGTGGTAACGTTGAGATACAGTGTAGGTTTAAATGGGAGCAAATGTCAAATTTAGTTTATATTTTCACTAGCTTAAACGGTCGGAAGTGGGCGGCTCCTCTTAGAACCTTCTATGGGCCCTTTTTTTTGTAGAATCTAAATCTGTAATTAGAATGGCCATAACACGCTAGATATAGAGACTACTGTTTTCTTAATTCTTATGGGCGCCACATTGGATTTTTTACGGAATGAGAGGTGAAAAAACAAGATCTAATTATCCGTGGATGTTTTGTTGAAAAATGAATATACAAGTAAAACATTTGATTTAAAATTTTTTCTTGTAAATTTATATACAAGTATACAGTGCGTTTGAGAAAAGAGGGTCACCTCAATATCTTTTTTATTTGGCGAAATACGAAAAATTTGTGAAATATAATTTTATATGTGACATTACGATCTATGTAATCGCATATTCAAACTTCCGTTATCACTTCTGGTTACATTTGACAAATTTTCGTATCTCGCCAAATGAAAGAGGTATTGAGGTGACCCTCTTATCTCAAACGCACTATATACTTTTACATAAATTTCCAACAAAATATTTAAAATCAAATGTTTTACTTTACTTATATTTATTTCTCAACAATCTAAGGGTTTTCCAACTGCAACAATTGACTGAATAACAACATTGGTTGGAAATGCATTCATGTGTTCGCCCCGCACATGCGCAAATCAAGTTTAGGCCTGCGGAACTTTTTTTAGGTTAGCGAATCTCTATTGAGATATGATCTTATGATTTTTTCCTTTTCAGGTCAAGAATGCATTTCTCATGATTGTTACTTGTCAGATACTCATTTAATAACCAATTTATAATATTCTGTAGTCTATTATTAATTATTACGGTTGGAGTTTCATCACATCCAATGCAAGCAGTAATCAAATATATCGAAGTATTTAGTTATTAAGTGTGCGCTCTGAAAGTATAGTTGCAAATTTACAATATCTAGTTTCGAACTTGGTTCAACTTTATTAATGTTAGAAAATAAGTAAATTATAATTAAAATCATTGCAACAATGCCTTCTAATATATTTTTTTTATTTTCGCAAGGTTGGGATCAAGTTCAGACAATAGACTCTTTGCTTCGTAAAGGCGGTTATAAAGCTGTAATTTCCAATGAACTCCGTCGTAGTATAAAATTGACTCGTTATCAAAGTGAAAAAATTACAGTGAGTTACCAAGACTATATGAACCATTGGAACAATCAGCGTTGCTAGCAGTTAATGTGGGGGCGTGGCATCCCCACGCCTCCACAGACAACTCCACTCTATCCACATACGATGCCACTATATCGATCACCGACAGTAGTTATGGTACAACCTCCATTACCTCTTCCCTCCTATTCAGGACCGAATTTTGTGCAACCGCCTTTCGTATTACCGACCATGCCTACTGGTAACTCTGTATGGTGGGATCATTACCCTGGACCATCCGGCCAACAAGACTTCGTAATGCTACCCTCGCCAGAATCGGATAGAAATGGTTATCAATCACCACCTTTTCGAAAGCGAAAGTGACACAAAAACAGTTAAATTTAATTCTGATAAAACTTTTATTACATGCCAATCATGTGCCCTCAATTAACGTTTTTTAACACCAAAGGTTTTCAAATTTCTTAGGACGTGAACTGTTTGACGATATAACGTATGAAGTATCAGTTATTGAATTCGCTATCACATCTGTGCCTGACCATCGCACTCGGCGCTGCTTTAGATAAATGCCAAACGACCTTTTTGGTTTAGATAATTTTATTCCATCTAAGATTATGTTTAGGTTTTATCTTTTTTGTATTCATCCTGTTTTTTTTATTCGATTAAGTTTAACATCAAGTATGTTGACAAATCCAAACATTGAAAAAAGTACAACCTCTTGAATTTTATTTTTGAATTACACCCTACACGAATAAGCACAATCAATTCAATATGTACAGAGAAACTTAGTTTTATATACATACAGTAAATTAATGTAGGATATGAATATTTTTTTTATTAAAAACTCGTAAAAATTCACTTAGAGTAAGGAGTATGAATTTTAGTTTAATTTTTCAAGTACATAGGTATACAAGAATCGTGCATATGTATGTTAAATAATCGCAAGATTGGATACTTACTAACACAGATAGTGTTTAATTTTTTAGTTCAATTTTTTGGTGTATGGTATATCTCTGAGAATTATTACCTTTCACTTATTGATAATTTTCTTCCAAAAATATTGAACTGCTGATGCTTAAAACGACTCCTCACACTAATGCAAAAGGTATCAATTATTAGCGGAGATATATTGAATGAAGGTTTATTAAATAGATCGCAAATGCTAATTCAATTCAATATTTTTTGAACATATCAATATTAGAACTTTATTAATTTTGGTGTTTTGAATTTGTGCAACTAATACCGTCGCTTTTTCGATCTATTGAAATGCTTATTATATCGTATGATTACTGCTTGTGAAAGTTTAATGTAGGCCCTGGAAAAGAAATGTAGTCAGCTAGTCTACTAGAATATTTCAAATTCTCCTGTTCATTAATTTAGTGAATTGTGATTTCCAAAAGCAGTTTCTTGTGATACATTCTACGCAAAATAACATTAATCGAAAACACTAAAGAAACATGCATTTATTTGGCCCTTATTAATAATTAGTGCAAGCCTGTTTGATTACCAATTATATACATCATTACTTCATCCATATTCCAATTGAATAAATGAATGACAAAAGGTCAAGTATAAGCTTGTATTAAGCACTGCTTAAGAAACCAAGCAGTTGTATGTAACAATAGCCTATTTTAAGAATATTTTGTGCACCACGTTAATTAGTTGTAATCAAGTGTTACGAATAAAATGTCTGTATGTGTAGTCTAATTTAGTTTGAAAGATTTGTAATTAGTTACAGGATTGTTTCGTTGATCGATTTTAACACTTGTGCTCAATTTACTTGACCTTCTTTATGGTAGCTGCTTATATGGTTTTTGTTTGTTAATCATCTGGGAAAGTCTGTACGTTAGCAAAAGTGTTAAAATACATTTTTTCTTAGAAAATTACTTAACAGTAAATGATTACGAATGACGCCATCTATAATGCGATGGTACAAAAAAAACTTAATCGTCACTGCCATTTTTGTCATCTATAGTCTAGAATCATTCATAATGATGCTCAAAAAGCATTTGATTATATGAACATAATTATTTGTTCCTTGATCTCGTTGTTGCACCCACTTTATTATATCTCCTCCAATGTGTTAATCATTTAATTACAAATTTGACTATACCAAATTGCAGCTGTGATGGGGTGTGAACAACTATTGTTTAAATTCAACTGTAAGTGACATAACAATATGCTGAAATAAAATTGTTTTGATTTTATTTCGGTACGTAAGTTTCATAATGTATCTCTTCAGGAATTTGAGGCTTTTGCCACAATGTCACTGCTTACATCCAGCATGAATTTATATCTTAACATATCCACAGCTTGTATAGATATTTTGAATAAAAATACAATAGAAATGTTAAATTGTGCATAAAATAAGATTCCAAAGTCAAATTGTGCCTATTGCTGGATTGCATTAAGCAGACAGATTGCCGTTAATGTTAGAGTAACATTTAACATTCTTTTAATTTGACGGAATAATTGTTAGACTTTAATATGTGTGTTGTAGTGGGGTTCCAGTTAATAAATTACATTTTTTGAAAAACCTGTCGTATTCTTTGGTGTGTTGCTAGAGTTGCAGAAATTAAGGCCATCTACCTACTAGCAATCCCTCTGTGTATAGAATTGCAGTAGGTATACTTGAGACTATATGGAAGGAAAATAAAGTTTAACTAACCACCACTACTTGAAATAAAGAAAGCTCCATCAAATCTGTAATACCACCCAAAAGATAATTTTTTTGGCTCATGATGATATATTTTTGTTATTTAAGCAGATTATTTCTTACTATACACTGTGTACAAGATAAGGATGTCTACCATAGGGATTTCGGAAACCATACAGAATATGCCGATTGTCAAATTACGGAAAAATTATTATCCTGCTGTAAAGAAATCCAGAAAATTTCGATTACTTCCGAAACCATGCCAGAAAACCGACATTTGCAATTTTGTCTTTCTTTCCGATGTTATTTGATCAGATACGAACAAATAAAAAATATTTTCTCATTGCCACTATTTGAACTCTACAAGACAGATTTTCAATTGAAAAACTAAGAAACCAACCAAATTTCAGGGGTTTTGGGGGTGATACGGGGGACGCACAAGAGGTGGGAGGTCGAAAAATTAGATTCTTAACCACCAGATGACTGCCTATGATATGCAAAAGAAATTGGAACTACTTCTCATTTTGCAAGTTAAAACCCTCTATTCCCTGGACTAATAACTGCCATAAGAAATACAAAAGTTATCTCCTGTAACTATTCCACGTCTAGAGTGCCTGAATTTTTCGATAACATAGTTGGACTTCTCATAAAAAGTGCTTTTAGTTTAAAACGTCCACTTTGTCGTTTTCGAAATAAACTTTCGGAAAATCGAAAATAAAAAATGTCAGTTTTTTCAAAAATCTCGGCAACTTCTGAAGACATCCGAATTTTCGTAATGGAATATTATTGGACACCAAAATACGCAACTTTGCCTCAATTTAAACTACAAATGCATCTCTTCAAATAACCGATATTCCCATGTTGCAGCTCGAAAAATGGGCACCCTGTGTTCCACAGGACTGAAGTGCGTCCTAACCATATATATGGTCCTAACCACCAGGTGTTTGTTGCACTACGTTTTGGGTAACAAACTGCACCCTCGGAATTAACACACACTTTAATCCCTTAGTGGGTATATAATAAACTATTTTGTACTCACTAATTTAAATTAGAGCGCAAGTTTGAAAGAAAGATACTTTGAATACATCCTTATTAAATTGTTTCCTGTCACTTTTTCCTCATTATTTATTTTTAATCGTTCCAGGAGAAAAAGCTGCATTTTAGTCCTCCATTAAACCGGTTTTATAAAGGCGTCTCCAGGTTTTCGTAAGTAAAACACATTAGACCTTAGACCTTTCCTTCTCTAAGTGTTGGCTACCCTGGAGTAGCATCTCAGAGCATTCTTTAATCATTTCAAAGTTTAAAATTTATGCATGATAATAGGTTGTCATGAAAAACATTTGCCCATCATAATAATCTACTCTCATTAGAAGTTTACACTTCTTTATTTGCTTTCATCGCAATAATGCATACATTTTCCAACGTAATGTTTGAATTTACATAGTAGCATAAATCACAGTTAAAGCCTTGGTTTTGCAAATATATTTTCCTACCCCAGTTGATGAGATCTTTACATTTCTTCCCAACAGTTTCTTTCTCACACCTGTTAAGTCCAATCTGTGTATACCTGCAATAATAAATGAATACGGGACACATCTACTAACACCTTCTACCTTTCATTTTCTCCTAAACCACTTTCATCGTTTTTCCTCTTCTCTCGGCTTTGCCCGCTTCCGCAAACAGCCCAACTTACTAAACCACACATAATGTCAAAATCTACGCTATTAATACCGACATGCTATAATTCAAATTTTAATCAAATTTAACCCATAACTGATACTTACTTCGAAAAAGTGTTTGCCAACATAAGTATTCCAGTGGCATCGATGGAGACAGCAGAAAGTCATCACCATTCCAGTCACATCTTTTCCCGAAGACTGACAGTTCATTAAGCAAGTGAGGGCTAAATCTAAAAAGAACAGGAATAAAAAAACTAGAAACTACTGGTCAAAGTACCTGTAGCATCACCGCATAAATGTTTTGTAACTCCAACCACGTGCTTGGCCTTAGCTATTGTGTCTATCTCTGGCAATAGTAGGTCTGCAATATCAGCTCTAATTCTCACAACTGAAACATCTGTTTTATCTAGTTTGTTGTCATGCTTGTGTCTGAGCGAAGCCCTTTCTACTAATAATACACTAGAAGAACTATGCCTCAATAGTTCCAAGGTTTTTGCAAGCCAATAACTTACTTTTCCTAAACAATTTGAGCTTACTTTTAAGTTACAACAACACAAATTATTTGTACCTTTCCCTGCACCAAGTTCCACAAAACATGTATCATCCTGCAATAAATTATATTCTTGTAAAAGACCTAAAATTGATGACACTTGTACAAGATGCTTTTTAGTCGCGGGTCCATATGCGGGGTTACCCAATTCCTCATCCAAAACACTGTGTGTTGCAAGTTTCTCTTGTATGCTGTTTTGAATATCTATAATGAAGCTCTTTGATGAAATTTGCGGTACCAATCATTCTCACCTTTGTGGATTTTATTCACCTTCGCAATAACTTCTAGCAATTGTGGTACTGGCATATTCGCCAGAGACCTTGTTTGTGACGTGGACTCTACTTCGACGTTAACATTTTTTTGTAAATATGGTACATCTTGTGAAGGCTTTGCGTTACATTTCTTTAAATGTTTTTTTAACTTACTGGCGTAGCAAGTACTGTGATTTAAAAAAAAATTATAATTGATTCTGTAATACAAACGTACCTATACCTACTCAAATAGCAACTCATTTTAAGGCATGCAAGACTTTTACCTCGACTTTTACCAGAATTGGCTCATACAGCAAGCAGAACTTTTATCCACGAAAAATGAATTGTTTTCGACAGAAAGAAAACAGGTGACATTAGAATGACATTAACTTCAACGCCGGTATTAGCCCACTTTTATCCTAACAGAAATACAAGAGTAGCAGACGATGCATCATCCTTTGGTCTAGGGGCCGAATTGGAACAAGAGCAAAAATATGCAATTTGAAAATCAATCTCCTATGCATCACAGAAAATGTCAGAAACTGAATCCAGATATGCACAGATAGAAAGAGAAGCACTAGTAGCTACTAGAGCGGCTACATGGGCATATGAGAAATTTGAAATGCACTTGCTAGGCAAAGATTTTATTCTGCGCACAGACCACAAGCCGTTGATCCCACTGTTGCGAACGAAACCACTAGCGAATTTGTCGTCCCGGCTGCAAAGGTTTAGAATGCGAATACTTTTATATCGAGTGCATTCCTGGAAAGAAAATGATCACCGCTGACATGCTTTCCATGACATCGACATAATCAACCAATCCAATGCCACGAACCTCTGGCTTCAAAAATGTTTTTCAAATACTATAAGCATCATGGATAGAATGAGCCGGCGCTCCGTCATGTTGAAATCAGTTTACTTAAAGGCCTCCTAAGAAAATTATGCATAACGGTCATAATTTTTTAGAAAATCTATAACAAAAAGGAAAGCATAACAGATAGGTATACAGGGTGGTGCCTAGCGCGACGCAGCATAGGGATTTCAATGGTAATTTCTTTATAGTCAATTACTAGCTCCCCTAATTATTTTAGAGCAAAAGTCTAAATACGTTTTTTGTACAGACAAAAATACTGCATCTGTTCATACTTTTAGTTATAATTTTCCATTTTTCAAAACCGTAGAAATCCACAAAATAAAAAATTACATTTTTATAAATCAGTGATGCTTTGGAATCTTTTAACAAACTACAAGCGCATCGCATCTAAGTTATCGTTGTTTGACGTCGAACGATTTTCATATTTAATTCTGTTTCAACTAACCGACGCAATAAAAGGCATCTTAGTCAACGGAGTCATAAATACAGCTCAAAAGAATAGCAATCAAACATCAAAAATTTTGAAAAATCTTGAATAACTTGTAAACCTTTGATTCTGGGTATAGGGAAATTGGTATCAAACGGCGTAGACTTTCATGTAGATTTCGAAAATGCAATAAAATACAGGGTGTTCTATTTAAAATAAGAAGTTGCTATCGCCATGCGGTAGAACCGGAAGTGAAACGGTCATAATAATATTTTCTTTCGATATGTCAAGAAAAACTATGTTGGTATGCACATTTTCAGATTTAATTGATCAATGAAAGCTTGAATACTTTTAGGTAACGTTTTGCGTGAAACAGTAATACTTGGTGTAATTACGGAAGTAGGTATCCACAAGAATCTTACCATTGCAAACTTGAAATCAATGAAACCAGCAAAGATTAAATTACATTATTAGCTAATTATACGAAGGTGTTAATGACGCCGGACAAAGCCCGAAGAGGTGAATTTTATTACAGATAACAATGAATAGCCTAATCTCTAATGCTATTGTTAGAAAAATAAATAGGATTAATTCGCAATTGCCAGTTAATGACACTTTCGCCGGGGGGCGTATGGTGTAATTTAGTTGCCTAACTGGGCTTTCAATTGGTGAAATACGTCATGATGTCATCAAACCATTTTCCCCAATTTTTTTTCTTAATTTATGGGATGAAAAAGATATACCTATGTACAATCATACAATTTTGTTAGCTGGTTGTAAATCGCCACACCCATGTCTGTATTTTTTATAGAGGTGCCGTCATCTTCAAGGCAAGCTTTACCAATTGTAGTAGTTATTTCCAAAATTTTGGCAAACTTCAGAAAATGGTTTACGCACAATCAGTCTGTTGGTTAATACCTACAATATTTGACATCGGCCCTTTTTTTAAATGCGATTATAAAATCAAAATCTTAAAGAAATGATTCACTGCAGAGTCGCCTTAAGTGTTGAAAAACATGAACTTTTTTAGTGCCGCTTGTAGCGCGGCATCGCGTCGCCTCGCCTAGTTGAGTGCAGCGCAAGCTGTCATGGCTGTCATTTAAGAAACCAGTGCCGTCGTTAATTGTGGTGTGCAATTTGTAACAATTTAGTGAATGCATGACGATACAAGATACACCACTGGAATTAAATCGACCATTAGTGCCAACCTCAAAAATTTTTCGATTTGCGGGAAATTCAAACGATCATAACTTCTAAAACTAGTACCCGGTACAAAACATGATATTGATTTTTGGATGCATCTGAAATGACAGTCCAAAGCAGTACCAGCAATTAGGCAGTACTCGCAGTATTTAGAAAGTACCTACTACCTACTGCAAGTTAGCAAAAGTGAATAATCCTTGGATAAGTTAGGCAGCACCTATTGCTCCAAGGAAAGTAAGAAAGTCTTCTGAATATAATGTGCCTGTGAGAAGAGATATCGAGATATATTAGAAGCATAGATGCCACGCAATAAGAATATAGAAGGATAAATAATGCAACTGAATCAATAAGTTACGTGGATCTTTGGTTTACTACATCTTACCTCGTTACATTCCATAGCTACCTGAAATCAGTAAGTCGTGAACAAACTCATCTCCAAAAAATAATTGCAAGCACCCTGATATTCTCTCAAAGCGGAGGCTTCCACAATCAGAGTTATTAAGATGCAGCGACTTCCAGGATGGGAACGTGTTAATGTTGAACGAAACTTTGGAGATACGGTCCTATCCCGGAAGGCATTCGCATCTTAACACTAATATTTCCCATACTGAATTATAACTATAATTAAATATCCTGATGATTATATCTATAATAAGTAGAATAAATCTTACTGTTTTGAATCTAACGGACACACTATCCTTATATTTTGACCAGATGCATTAGAAGGACCCTCATTGTTCAGTGCTGTTTGATGTTCGCCACAAAATTGTTCGCCTTCCTTTACGGTCATTCTACAGAATCGCTTTTTTCTGGTAACATAGTGATTACAATGAGCATGTGTGTTCTTTTCACTCATTATTTGACACAAATTTGAGTAATTACAACTTAGTCTTATCTAGAACAGAGTAAGAAACTTAAGAATAATTACACTGTCCACTTTTTCATAACCAACAAAAAATCTAAATATTTAACTAACCTAACTTTTACAGGCACATTGGCTAGTCCTAAATGGCATTATTAAAAGCGAAACCGGAAAATATTCCCGAAGATGCGGTTATATTAACCAGAGAAAAGGCGCTGCAGTATCAGTTAGACATTTTAAAAAACTGGAAACATCAAAGTGACATGTAGGTACTACTTAACGAATCATAGGCCCCAGTACTCAATTATGCGTGTAATTCGTAGATGGCCCATAAAACATGGAGGAACAATTTTAGCATCTCTTAGTGCATTGTCTGGGATTTATATTAATAATTACTATAGGTTTAAATTCAAATTATTGAATTACGGAAGACTATCGTCTTATCTACCCTTATGTGGACTACCAGCCATTATGTCATTTATGTCTCACACACAAGTAATAATGCCACGTACAGATATCGTAATTTCATTCAGTAATTGTAGTTTGTGCTGCCTGATGTTGTTTTACAAGAAAATTGTGCAGTTTGTACACAAATGCGAGCATCTGCCTTACAGTCAGGATTTGGTGCTGTGTTTCCATTGCTGCTGGCTCCAATGTCGATTTTTTCAGTAAGGTGATAAATAAGATATGTGAAGAAGCTGTTAAATGATTTTAGTTGGCACTAAGATATAACACGTACGACATCCCGTATTTTACCAAAGAACCACTTAAAGCGGCACAGTTATGGTTGAACAAAACCAAACCAATTAATAACATATTGTTCGCGATATTTGTTGGACAAGCGTTGGCTGCCACGGCTGTGACTTATTTGGAAGCGAACGCGATCGAGAAAGTTAATGACAAATTGACATTATTAGGATATGATTTGGATAATGATTACTGAATGGTACCTACCTTTAATAGTATCCACACAATGCAGTAGATAATACCTACAAATATTATTGTGTTATTTTATTTATTACTTATATTTGGCACCATACCATATTGTTCCTCTTAAAAAATGCTTTTAATCAAACTAGGTACCTATGATGCTAAGCTTTTGGATCTCTCTTTTTTTTGAGTGACTGTATAAGACCAGTTTCACCAAGGACCCAATCGATCATCAGTTGAATTTAAATTGTTTTCACAAAACGGGTAGGTATCATTTCAGTTGTCAACATGTATTTGAGAGTTGACAACACTATTGAAACTGCAACTGATGGTACGCGAGCATGCGAAAATCTTCGTTTATTAAATAATCCATAATCCATACACGTCCTGGCTGACCCAATGCCCTTACTATTTTATCAGTCACCCGATGGTATGGGAATATGTGAACGATACAACTTAAAACAATGGATAGGATGGACCATCAGTCCTTATGCCTAAACAGTGTGGCCATATCCTAATTTATCATTGAGATAATTGGTTGCACCGAATTGGTAGATTTTGTTATAGTACCTAACAGTATTTTATTGCCTAGAGTTGCTAAGTTAATTCGAATTCGCACCTCTAATTAAATAATTTAACAGTCCAGTCCAGGGTAAGAAATTATCACCTAGCTAATTGGTCCGGTTATTAAATGCAGTAACTAAATAATTGCTGTGTAATACATCGATCAATGCAATTGGTAAGGTACACTCACTGCCATTTTATTTAAATATACAATAAAAATATCTATTTACCTTTCGTTAATTATATTTAATTACCTTCTAATTAAGCAATTGAAATTATTTTAGATGAGTTCATTAATGAACCTATGCACCGACAAATTTATGCGGGACTTAAGCTAGACTTAAGTTTAAGCCCCGCTTAAATTTGTCGGTGTATACGGCCATAAGTAAAAAAAACATTCTCACCATCAAAATTTGTTTACTGTAATTTCACAAAAATCAGTTATCGGACAAGTGATTTAGAAAATCGTTAATAAACTATTGACGCAGTCTGTACATAACAGAACAAGTTTCATTTAAAAAAATATATTTCTTCGAAATATTAAAATTTAACATCAAATTAAAAAAGAAACAATAGAAAATATATTCTAATTAAAACTAATAAAAATAAGATTATAAAAACACAATCACACATTTACAAATCACAAAAAAATAAAATAAAAACTATAAAACACTATAAAATATTTACAAATACTATTTACAAAAAAAATTGTTGAAAATAATAATTTTTTATATTTTAGAACACCACGTTTATGGGAATGGGCAAAGGTAAACGCCATAAATTCCCACATATGTTTCCCTTGCCCAAGTGGCACTAAAGTAGCTTTGTTGTTTATTAAAGATATAGATATAGCATTAAAGAAATATACAACTGCTTATCCAATTTAATATCTTCTTTTGTGGAGACAGAATTTAAATTGAAAATTGCCACAATTCCTGGTCTAGGGACAAATATAGACAACGAAATAATAAAAAAATGTGGCAATACATTCTCGAAGAGACAAGCTACAGGGTCGTTATTTGTAAAAATAAGGACCCAATAAAAAAAAGGTAAATATATACGTTTCAGATTGATCACACCTTTTAATTCGATATAAATTTACAGCCGCATCTAACCCTGTTGAACCAGAGGTATGGGTAGTACGTCAGTACAACCACCGCAAGCTGCTACTGGTGCAACTGCAACCATGTACGGAAGCATAACCGCCCAGGCTGCTTAAGGCAAGGCAACTGTGGTCAATGCTTCCTTCAGGGTAGTGTTGTAAGGCGCGAATATTTCCCATAAATTCTCGAGAACATGCTTCCGAAGTTTCCAGTTTATACTAGCATAGAGTATTATATTATACTCTTTGATACCTACTAGTCTTTAAACGGCCGACCCTCGTTTTCACGAGGTTACGCGAAGTATACATTCTGTGAAACTTCGCCTCGTTAGTATAGGTATCAATTTTCGTGCATGTTTAGAAGTTTATGAATTTTTTTAGTTTTGTTTTGAAGGTGCAGCACTTGTTATGGCATACTGAGACTGAAAAGCTTTTCTTTAAATAAACAATTTAAAACTCTGATGAGTTTTATTGTTTCTAAGAAAATATAAATACATTAAAAGATTGATATCAGTCTTTAGTGTAGGTACATATTGAAATTTGTATAAAATAGTATAGTAGATTTTGTAAAAGATGAATATTATACCGAATATTTTCAAATAAGTTCCCGAATATTCGCAATGATAAATAAATCATAGGAATTTTACAATACTACTGCAGTGTCAGCAACTCTCCTGGGCCGATTACGAACTGGGATGAGTTTGCGAATGTTGCGGCGAAACTGGAGTCTGATACTAGCTACGCGTCGGATAAACAATAGACAGCTATTGCCTACATACATAAGAATCAGAGAGTTTTAAACAAATAAACGCAACACTGTAGGGCGACCTTAGAGAAGGAAAGAGTGAGGAGTGATATATAATGATCGTAAAGTGAAGCCCACATTAAATGTTAGTGCCACCGAAAACTAACCTATAATTTATACCTGTGAAACGATATACTTTCGTGTGTTTTTTGGCTATCACTTCCGTGCACTACAATGTACCATTGTCCAATAATGTTTTTCATCGAAAATGAAAAATTAAACAAACTTTGGCTCCGAAAATATGACCGCGCCTTGTAGAACATTGCCCTCATTCAAGAACCCTCTGGGTTTTGAAATGTAGGGTTTTGGTCTTGGGGGTACAAAATGAACCGTTTTCTTTGACATACGGCAAAAAAAACTTAGGACATGTGCAACGTTATTTTCTTACCGATTGAAATACAGTTTAAGTAACTTCGATTTGTGCTCTTATTTGAATTGTTACTGTACTAGTTTAATATGTAAGCTATTCCTGTAGTAAGTTTTATTATTATCTTAGTAATAGATCTCTTCAATAGTTCTTTGTTTTGCCGTCCGAGATCGTGCAGGGTTCTCTTTAATTCCTCTTGACGCACGCACTTCTTTGTACCAAAGATATTCAACTATTACTTGTAGAAGAATGTATACGCTGTAGTTGTTACTCGACCTTTTTTGTCTACCTTTTTGGGATATATTTAGTGAAGTTGTACTTTCGACACTTCGCTGACGCAGTTTCAATTTCGAAGGCTGTTCTCGGTATGTAACCAAAACTACGCATTACCTTATTTGGCTTTAAATAATCACTTTTAGGCTTCTTACTCTGGCGTACTTTTTTCTTCATTATTACCTACCTGATTGTTGCTTCTTACGTGGATATTCCTGAGTGGTAACCGCCGAATTTCAATTTTTTCAATATTGCACAAGGGAAATTTCGATATAGTTTCGACAACTTTCAACGAAACTCTTGTAAATCGCTCTGTTGTACCTGATAGTACGTCTTTTTATTTATTTATTTTGTTTTTGTTGTTACCAAAGATTTGACTTTACCCTTATCAATAAGCCTCGCTTGTGTCTACAGTACTTTCTGATTACTACGAAAATGCATTTAGCATGATTACATTGCATCTTTCAGATTAGCTGTGTTATTATTAATTAATGAAAGCCGATGCGGGAGTAGAGCATTATGCAATTTATCAATTTACGAGTTGTTTGTCTAAATTGATCGAAGATGTGGTTGATGTGTTTTTGTACCTAGGTACCTACTAAATTATTTATCTTGTTTTCCACTTGTATAATATATGCCTCTTGTATCTCGATCCTCGATATCGTTTATAATTTTGCATAGCTGTCCGTGTAGCTGTCTGTCGATCTGTTCGTGTGCACGATAACTTTGTTTAGAAACTTCCGATTGCTTTGAAAATTGGTACACATTTTCTTAAAGATATAAGAAAGGTCGCTATTTTTTTTCAGCTATGTAGGCCAAATAATATACGATGTAACGTATAGGAATTTATTTACAATATGTACAAAGCGCCAAGCTCGGTTCTTGACGAAACCTAGGATTGCACAGTCATAATAGCGGGGAACCCCAGCTGTTATGTGTTACCGGAATGACTAGAATTGCCGTTACAGGCGAAGCCCCCTGTATCGTGACCATTCGTCCCGGATTTTGCTGGAAAGTCCCGAATTTGAACTAGCGGTCCCGTATTAGCACCCATCCCGCAACCGTTCCGGAAAAATGACGTACGTCGTACGAAATTGATCTAATGCGCAATGAGTCACTTTCATATTTTTTATTTATGTGATAAATCGATGCGGAACATAAAGAAATACCAGTATGCCAAATTTCACAATCCTAAACACACAAAAACTTTTAAATTATTTAAAGGTATGTTTTTCGCGCGCTTGGAAATCATTTTGAACGCTAGAATGTGCCGGCGCATGGTTGTGATGTCACAACTGTGTAAAAGTTCAAGGACGGTGTACTTCCATGTATGTATACTTCTAATGCGACGACGTAACGTATGCTTTTGTTGTTACTTACGTTTTCCTCTGTGTACCAAGTTTTTTCCGGCGAAATTTAAGTTGTTAGATGTCAAAATGGTGTATCACTGGTGCATAGTCCCAATGTGTACGAACACGTCGGTGAAAACACCGCAAAAGACTTTTATTAATGTACCTAAGTCGGGAAAGATACGAAGGCTGTGGATAAACGCTGTCAGACGCGATCCAACAGAATTTGCTGTATCAACCGTCTTATTTGTTTGTGAAGACCATTTTAAAGTAAGTCTACTCCATAATATATTATTTTACTACCACAACGGTTACATTTTCAGTTGGAAGAGGATATGGCCAACTATATGGAGTGGAAACTCACAGGAGTGAAAAAAATTATGAAGAAAGACGTGGTGCCACACTTATTTGGGTGCCAAAAAGATCGAAAGAGAAGTTTTCCGCAAGGTGAGCCACGACGTGCGGCTCTTAAACAAATTAGACGGGATCTAATTAACGAGGCCATGACAGAACCAAGTCCAAGTACATCAACATCTGCCGCAGAAGAAACACCTGCAGAAGCCATGGAACATCAGAGTACTCCTTTAGACGTGTCATGTGAGGGTTTACCCTTGTTCAAAGAAATTGGCGTTCCACAATATAGAAGCAAATATGTTCAGTGCAACACCAAGACATCTACAATATGTTAGAGCTGTTCCCCAATCAAACTTGATTCTGTCGAAAGTCTTCCTACTCTGACACCAGGCAAAACTAGTCATGTGAAAAATACTATACCTGTAAAATTGTCATCTTCCGAATCGCAGTCACACTCATCACAGACTTCGGAATATGAGCGTCCAGCTTGTACATCAGAGGACGATTGATCAGAAACTGAAACCAGCTTCAAAGAAAAGCTGTCTGCAAAGACCTCTTTGAGACACACAGTTACCTTAATTGAAAAGAACCCATGACCACAGTAAGCTGTGCCATGACGCTTTTAGGAATTCCAGGCGATGTCTTCTTTATTGTTGTGGAGCTGCAGAATTTGACCGGGTTGGACACCACAAGCATCTACTTAACATTTAAAAAAATCAGAGTAGATCAGACATTTGCTGAACTTGGAGATGATTTTGGTGTATCTGAAACCACTGCAAGCAGACTTTTCTCAAAATCCCTGTTACCAATTGTGAAATTTGTGTCGGGATTGATTGTTTGGCCAAGCGCAGAAAAGATTGCTAAACTGTTGCCAATTCGATTCAGAGCAAGGTACGGCAAAGTTAAAGCAATTATTGATTGCTTGGAAATAAAGATGCAGAAACCGGAAGATGCTGTCAAACAATCTCTGACATGGTCGGAATATAAGAAATGCAATACGGTCAAATACCTGGTATCATCTACTTCCGATGGGATTGTCAATTTTATATCCAATGGTTTTGGAGGTCGAACCTCCGATGCTGTTATAGTTGAGGAGTCTCGATTTTTAGATAAACTTGTACCAGGATGTCATGTGATGGCAGACAGAGGTTTCAAACATAGATAAATTACTGACTGAACGAAAATGTGTATTGGTTAGGCCCCCCAGTGTAAGAATAGATGAAAAGTTAAGAGTCAAGTTTTGGAAACTAAAAAAATAGCTAGCCTGCGTATCCATATACTATGCGATCAAAAATGAGTTGCTGTCGAGTCACCTTTGGAATTTTTGTTTACATGGAAAATCGTACTTAACTTGAACTTCCAAAAGCGACTCGACAGCAACTCATTTTTGATCGCCCGTTAGAACGAGTGATAAGGCGATTAAGAGAGTTTAGAATGTTGAAACCGCATTCATTTTAGGTTAATTCCTTATACAGATGACATCATGAAAATTGCATGTGGGCATTGAATAAAAAATTTTTTATTCAATGATGTGGGTTAATAAATTTGCAGGGACCATTAATAGTTGGAGATAAATGATACATTATGTAAGCAGTACATTACATATATGTATAGGTAGTATATCTTGTGAGTTTCTTGTGTCTTCTAAATAAAAAAGCTAGTAATGAATGTATTGTGTTACATAATTAGATAATAAAACAAATATTTAAAACAATTTATTCCATGTCATAAAAAGAAAACAATAACGTTACATATTTACAAAAAATAATGGTTTACACTTATATAAAGGTATACATATTTACAATGATGGAAGCTCGGGTGGAAGGCTATTTAAAACTTTAGGAAAAATTGCTGCTTTCCAAAAATCAACTGCCATTTCTATTACCGGTTGAATAAAATCGTGATCATATTCATCTCTTAACACAGTAATAACTTTGTTGCTTTCAAAATTTGGATCTGCGACACAAAATATACCACTTCTCTTATTATTTACTAGCATTTGTAAGTGAATCTGTGCCCTTGTTTACTATTTTATTGTCTTTTGTCACATAAGCATTGACAGTCTTTTCACTAGAGGGACATTTAACTTCCACTACGAATTCCTCATTAACAGCATTCGGTGAAGCACCAAATACCGGATACTTTCCTGACAACATCAAACCAACTTTGCTGAATTTCATATTCAGCTGTTTCTGTAAAACTGACAGAACTTCATCTTCAAGTAGCTTACCTCGATTTATAGCTGCAGTTTCTTTTAGTTTTGCCCCAAATATGAACTCCACTAATGAGCCAGATAGTGTTTTACATCTTGCAGCTTCGTACACTTTTGATGCTGTAATTCTTGCATAGCGCAATTCATGCCATAAGACACTACTGCTTTGCTCTTTTGTAGCAATAAAACATATGTTGCACATTTCTGGAGTCATTCTTTCTTCACAAAAAGTAAAGAAATTATCTACTCCTTGCCCTTCACCTACGATAAAGTTGACTGCAAGCGTATGCACCCCCATGTTGTTTAAATTATTTGTACTTGCACCATCGGAGAAATACTTTAGCAGTTGACTTGCAACTGATTTTTACTTACTCCCTTCTATCAAGCGTGCTAGCAGGGGCAACTGAAGACCCTGCAGGAGTATCCTCTGCAGCTCCAAAGTTTTTCACCGTTATATATTTCAGTGAGATACCAACTCCTGCCAACTTTGATTTTCTCCAGTAGCTCTCAACATCAGTTGGAGAAGGTTCTTCGCCACGCCTATGCAACCACATGACAAAGGCCACTGCATGCTTGCAACCCCCTGCAAAAAAATTAAATTTTACATTAAAAATTCATAAAGCTGTACTCTGTCAAGGCTAATTAATAGTATCGCATTATTCGCATGCAGAAGAAGTCCAAAAACATGGAATGAAAATATCGGTTAATCTAGAAATTTGATCGAGATGAAAATACCAGTATAGCTTCAATAGTTAGCACTTCAATCTAGACTTCAATTTAATTGACTTCACAACCACTTTTAATCACTTTTCTCATACCTGCTCCAGCTGCACAATCTTGACAATCCGCAGACTGGATCTTCTCCTCCACTTCATCGATGACAACAACAACGCTGCCTTACTCTGTGTTCAGGGCAAAGCCGACACTTTATCGTACAAACATTTTGACTGCGTTGTATCTGCACGTAACCAACAGGCATTACCGTAATTTTCACGACCAGCACTGTAATAAAGTTATCATTTTACATATTTATGAATTTAACAGGCTCAGTGGCTTTTGCTAGTTCACTATACATTCGCAACAACTGAGAGTAGTCAACTCATGGACATACCTCGAAAATTAGGTACGTTTTCATAGCGGTACATTTAGCTTTTGCAGAATAATAAAGTGAAAAGTTAAGGTTTATGTTAGGAGGTGTCGTTTGGACTAAAATCCCACAAATGCTGCGAAAGGTCGAACAAGAAAATGTCCAGTTTGGCTGAAATGGCCATATCTCAAAACTTACCGCATAGCTTTCAGTTGAGTCCTCTAATTTCTACCGCGGTGTATTTGTCGCTGGATGCGAAAAATTCGGCTACCATTAAGGCGTCGACGTGCGGAAGATTGTCCGATTGAGCTTTGACAAAGCCAGGATCGGCCATTATCAGCATTATCTACTATTAGTTTGACTACACATTGTTTATCGTTTTTGCGCACAAGAGAGCAAACCTGGCCTTGCCGAACGGACCTCTACAAGCCTGGATCTACGAACACAGAATGTAAACAAATATGGCGACCACAGTTGTGACGTCACACTAATGGCAGGGCGTTTGCGGCTGACGTCATATTTAAAGGGATTCCCAGTAATTGTTTTCACTATTTGTTTAAAAACAAATGATCTTTTTCAAAAATTAGTATTCGCCTCATGTATGGCGGATATAGTACTTGCCACCGATGCAATTTTTTTTGCTAATAACGAAACCTTGCATTAAAGCGCGTTCGGCTGAAATCAAGCGATGTACTCGGCCTACCCATTACTATTACGGTAAACGTCCCCAAAAAAAATTTTTTATGAAGGAAACATAATTAGAAATACGGTATGAGTGGTATTTTGTACCTCAGCACAATGCAAACGTCATACATGATTTTTAAAAAGGTATATACAGTAGTCATCTTGACTAGTCTCCCTACTTTTCGTCCCTGTTTCAAACCTTTGCACACTAAACTGTAGACGACACACCGTGACTAGAGTAATCTCAAAATGAGAAGTACATCGTGACGTCATTTGCGCAAACCATGAAAATGTGTCCGGGAGAGTCCATGATAGCTCCTAAGGGGAGCGCGCGCGTTGACATTTGTGCATTGCCTCACACAGCAAATGTACTTTCAAACCTCAATTTAAATACCGTATGATACGCCACTGGTGGCAACAATACGCGCAGAAAGTGATGACGTCACGATGTACTTCTCATTTTGAGACTACTCTAAATATTCACAGTGTAAGCGGTAAATCCTAAACGAATATATTTATTTTTAATCAAATCGTATGCGAGAGTATGTAAAGGCGGGAAACTAAATAATTTGAAGTCGGTGTAGTGGATTTGGTTTTTCGATGTTGGTGCCAGAGATCCCCGGCCGCTATCTTGATCTCGATCCGATCACTGTGTCAACAGGACGTATGCAGGCCTTTATAAATATCGCTGGTTTTGGTATTCTTTCTGAAAGACACCATGCCTTTTGTGAAGAAAAGTTCTTAGCAGAAGAAGGAAAAGATTGTCCTAGCTCAGTTATATACTAGACCTAGTGGAAAAGTCATCAGATTTGAACGCGTGCTGCATAACGCGCCGCCGCGCCAGAGCAGACGCCGCTTGGGCGGTAAATATCTTCCTTATTTCATCATGAACATGCACTTTTCCGTGCATATTTAGATTCGTCACAAAATTTCGCTTCTAATGAGACCCATCTCATTTAAGTCTTGATACAAAACCCTTCGCTAGCTCAGAAAAACCGAGTCTGTCCATAAGTGCCCATGTTAAAATACCCTGTTTTTACTGTCAAATATCTCAGAAACAACACATAGGAACACTTTTTAGCGCATTTTTGCAAATTTATTTGTAAAAGGTAGCTTTTAATCTCACTTTGGCTGGCTGGCTGGTCGGCTGGCTGGCAGCAAATGTGGGCGCGTAGAAGAACTCTTGTAGAAAGGCAACGGGTGTACGTGTATCTACAAGGTCATGTAATTTGTAAACCTTGGGGACAGGACTACATGGATGTGGGGTTGGTGACATCTGGGCGTCATCCTCGAGCGTAGTATACTAACGTGAAGGTTTTTCAGTCTTTTCCTATCTTCTACTACAGTTTTGGTCCGATTCTTTTCAAATTGGTGTCGTCGGAAAGATGTTGTAAACGCGCACAACTCCTGCGTGGCGAAATTTTGTTTTTTGGCCTAGGGGCGAAATTAACGACCTTTTGCAAGGCGCGCGCGCGCGTCTTCGAGAGGTAGTCAACTTCGGGCACGTTTTACCTTCCGTTGCGAATTCTGTCACGCGTTTTAACGTTTCGTAAATCTCGAATGGCTGTCTCTCTTTCTCGTGTCGCCAATAGAAGCTCGAGCAATGAGAAGTGCCCCCCAAAAATTAAGTACTATCTTGTGGAAGGTTTTTAGCGAGATTCACCAAAATGTGGGTGTAGGTAATATAAGTATGCACCGAAAAAGGAAATGTGGTAGCCTCCGACAAGATCTTTTATTCATTGTTGAGTAAAAAGTGGCTAATAGAATACTGATCTGCCACACAAAAATGCGCTGAAGCCCCTTCGATCTCACACGAGGACTTTGATAATTTTTTCTTTTGACCATTAGAATATGCGTCTCTTAGAGAATAAGTGACCAAATTTTCACCAACTTCTTGCTACTTTTACCCAGGCACTCTAACTACTTTAATCGTAGCGCCCAGAGCGAAAACGCTAATCAGCATCATGTGATGTGCCTAAACTATATTCATTTTAAGAAGGTAGCGGTAGAAATTATTGAAGCTGTGATTGGTTAAAACACGAGTCAGTATTACATGGAAAAATAAATCCCGCGACAAATTTCGTTAAGTTTGTACTTTCTGTTGCCAACTAATCATAATTTAGTTTTAGTAAACGTTAAAAGGGTTAATAAATTTTTTTTTGCCTTTCTTGTATTTTTTAAAATAAATTTTTTTTTTAATATCTTAGTATTTTATTTGCAATTTTGTTTTCCTATAAAACATTAGTATAGGGGGGGGGGGGGGCTAAGAGTGTCCCACATTGAATCATTTTAAATATGGTCACTTTATTTGGCCGGAACCAGTGGCGTATTAAAGGTCAACAACGCCCTAAGCCCTAACGGATCTTGTGCCCCATATCAGATTTTTTAATAGTCTATAATAAACCAACTTTTACGAAATTATCAAGACAAAATAAAATAAGTACATTTACATAGAAAGCAATGCGTACTGTAACGTAAATTTAATATTAATTAATAATACATTTATGACAGTCTTGAAATGAATTTAGTTAAAATATTATTTATCACTTAAATATACACAACTTACAACAGCGCGAACTATTTACGACTTCGGCGTTGAAATTAGAACTGACTGAAACACAATAAGATTTGCTTATATACCATACAGCCCTGTTTCTCGAAAGTTTTCAAACGCTTCCAATCAGTACCTATTCTAGAATGTTCTCGAACAAAACACGTCATATTTCCCGGAAAGAATGCGTCACATCGTTACCACCATAAATGCAAATGGTCATACCCGCTTTCGTTTCTTATTGCCGATGACTAATCTCTGTCTATCGGGATAGAGAGAAATTACTGTACCTACTCACAGTTCAGACAGTATATAAGTACGTAGTTATACAGGGTTTCCGGGATGAAGGTAGGTAAGTATATAAAGTTTCAAAGAAAAAATCTGAAAATTTCGGTGGTTTAGAACTTTCATACACTGGGTAGTTTTGTTGGGGGGTGTCCAGTTTCACCAGAAACACATTTCCGATTTTACACCACTAGATTTTTTCTTGTGATGTGGGCTTGCAAAAAATAGACTGTATGAAACAAATCTAGAAACAATAGATGACTAGAAAAAACCACCAATATCACTATAGGGGTTGTCTCAAATCGTCTTCAAAGGGTTCGAAATTCCAATTATGTTTTGGGAATATGTTTCTTCAAAATAAGGTGAAACGCGACTCCCTACAAAAAGTGTAGGTATGTTATTATGTACCTAGGTATATTGCGGTTCAGAGGTCTCAGCAATTATCGGAGTGGTACTGGTGAAAAACCGGGCCGGTCGGATGGGGGCTTTCCATCTATGAGCGTGCTAGATTGCTACGTATCTTGTCTCGCGCCCCTGCCTTGCGATACGTTGATCCTTTATGAGTATTAATGATTTTTCAAATAGTGTTTTGTTCGCTCCTTTTTTTAGCACCTCTAAAATTCCAGCGCCCTAACCCCGGGCTTTGTCGGCTTATATAGGTTAATACGCCACTGGCCGGAGTTCGGTTAGAGCTAAATGCGATTAATTGTGGTATTGCGAAGATATCCCCTTGTGGCCAAAAGTCCACTCCATTCCAATATAGACGTGCCTACTGCGGGGTTTATTTATGTTTATTTTTAGGCATAAATATAATAAATATTTTTAGCTTTTATTGACCTAACAAAAATACCTACGTTTTCTCTAGGTACTTACATCAAATTTAATAATAAATTTTGAAAAAAGTAGGTAGGTACGTACATAAACCAGTTTAGGTAAAATATGAAATTTCTACATCCATCCTGATCTATCTGTCCTCTAATCTATAATACTTACTTACTTACCGACTTATGTAATGAAAAATCTATTTACTTATTTAATTTTTTTTTGGCATAAGCACGATTGTGTGCATATTCGCCGTTACTAAAAATATAAACAAAGATGACGCTCGCGCACAACGTAACGCATAGATGAAATTTTAAGATCACTTTGAATAATCGAGTCAAGAATTAATTTCGAATTGTTTATTGCTCTATATGCGACTCTATATTAAGTAATAAAAAAATGAAACCTTGTGCTATTGTGCATGTTACCATAATTACATTGTTAACGTTAGTGTTGCTGAATTTGAAATGTTGTGGATGTGAAACTGTGAATGATATAATGACATCTTTAGCGGATGCTATTAATATTACAAATGTAATACCGGAAGAAGAATTTGAACATTCTAAGACGGTTATTTTATTATGTCGCAGTAACGGTAAAGAACACTTGTTTATGTTTTGGCAGCTACCAAAGGACGATTTGATCGTTGGACCGTCAAACAACTTCGACACATATAAATATGATTACGAGATTTTGTCTGGAAATTTAACAATTCGAGTGAGTATCGAATATAGAACGGGGCCTACTTTTATGAATTGAAATGATAACTAAAATATTAACTATACTTTTAAACAATATATATCTATAGCTAAAATCATCTAGATCACTTATCTAGATTACACTTTTCCAACTTTTTATTTTATTTTTAATTTAAATATGATTTAGATGATACGCAAGAATTTCTCAGGGCTACTACTCATTGAAACAAATAAAAAATGAAACTCCGTTATTTGTAATTGAAAATGGCTAAGGCTACAATACCTATATTTTAATACAACATTATGTACCTAATTGCTTTAATTTCAAAATCACTTTTTATTTTACAAGTAATTACTCAGCTCGCCCAAACGTACATGAACTTCAAAATTTACTGGATTCATAAACACCTGCGGCACATTTTTTTAAAACAATAAATTGCAAAAACCTTAAATGTTTCCCCCAAGATCGCCTAAATTAAATCTACCGCGACACATATGTAATTTACTCTTAAACACTTGTATGGTTGAATATTCATTTGGCGTTCCCACCTGCACCTTGGTAAGACACCCACTTTGCCGCCATTAAACAAAACACATGTTTCGACGTAAACTAACATAAGTGCTATATACCAGCAAATAACATTTTTACAAAAGCATAAAATCGAAACTCCCTAATACATATGGCTATTTATTTTATTTTATTTATTTTATCAAACATGAATTATTTTTATCAACAAGATAATAAAAATGAATATTTTTTTATCCTGTAGATAATTTTAATTCTTCTATTTATACTTATCTACAAGATAAATTTAAATAGTTTATCATTAAGATAATTTTAAATAGGCAAAATAAAATTATCTACAAGATAAAAAATATTCATTTTTATTATCTTGTTGATAAAAATAATTCATATTTGATAAAATAAAATATTTATTTTTATATTAATGATACTTTTAAATCATTCATTTTTTTATCTTGTTGATAATTTTAAATAGCAAAATTTAAATTATCAACAAGATAAATTTAATTCTTCCGCCATTTCGATTATCTTAGATAATTTTAAATGGCCACCTTTGCAAGTCATAGCGAGATGGAAATACGCTGCTTTATAGGGAAAAAGAGAGAAAGGCAGCGCACGGCACCATTTAATTTTATCTCAGATAATATTAAATGGCTGAAATAGCCATTTACAATTATCTCTGATAATTTTAAATGGCGGAATGGAAGTAAAATTATCAAGATAAAAATAATTATTTTTTCATTATCGACAAGATAAAAAAAATGATTTGAAATTATCATTAAGATTAAAATAATTATTTAATTTTATCATTAAGATAATAGAAATTCGGGCAAAACTTTACTTTAAGATTATAGTAACGGGCGATCAAAAATGAGTTGCTGTCGAGTCGCCTTTGGAAGTTCAGGTTTTTCCATGTAAACAAAAATTTGAAAGGCGATTCGACAGCAACTCATTTTTGATCGCATAGTATTGTTGCACATTAAATGTTAAAACGACGTTCCATATATCCATGCATTTTTTTTTAAAGAAAAAGGAATTTATTTGTTACTCAGTTGTAAACGTTGATTAACAAGACAAAACGCAAACGGGTAAACGTCATGTTTAAACGCTACTGACTTGTAAAACTGACAGCTGACCTGTAAAAATTTTACAAGTTAGTAATCTAGTCATTTCATTGGCCAGAATTAATGCGAAGTCTCTGTTACATGGATAACATGATATTTTAGACATTTCTTCGAGATCAATTTAAGAACTAATTATTTACGTTTACTATTGTTTGCAAATGAGTAACAAATAAAATATTGTACATTATACGCCAGGTAATAGTTTTTACTGGCTCTAGGAGATGACAGGCTCGCCTAACGGCTCGCTAGTCAACTTCTCCTATCGCCAGTCAAAACTCACTTACCTGTCTAATAATGTAAAATACTACGAGTATTACACGATGATCCTATGCGTCAAAAGACTAGCTAATTCCGAATTTATATAAACTCACAATAAATAGAATAGGTATCTTTAATCTACTTACTCAAAATTGTTTATTTTCAGCGAATATCCTTTGAAGAAGAAGGAATTTATCATTGCGTTTCAAAAGGAGTAGTAAGTAACGACATAAATGTTCAACCTATTCTGGTGAAAATAAAAACAGATTCTGGTGCTTCTGGTAAAACCGGAGAGGTAAGTAATCATTTTAGAAGTACAATGCCTTTATTAACGATACTTTATTATTGATAGCTCACTTACTTCCGAGTCGTTGTGGTTCTCTGCACTCTTTTGGTTTTATCAGGGTTGGTATACATCGTTTACAGGCTTATTAAAAGGAGACACAAAAAGGAAACGCTTTTAGGTAGGTAGACATTTGACACAATATGTACCTACTTACTGGGAGTTACCTAGGCAGTTACTTACCAGTTTAAAAACCTTAAGTTTCCCAGTATGTTAAAACTGTCTTACTTCTGAAGGAACCCCATTTCAAACCCCATAGAACTTGGTTACACACTTTTCAGTTTTCGGCACACTTCGACCAGGACTGCTCTGGTAACCAAACCCAGTCTTCAGTTACAAGACCTGTATTCTCCTACCAGACCAGACCACATTTTTTGGTTTGTTTATTAAGGATCCTCAGATCCTTTATAGTTTTGTATTGTCGTCCGTCCGTCTGTCCGTGTGCGCTCGAACTCTTTTTAAAAGTGGCCGATTGTATGTTGAAATTTGATGTACGGGTATTTTCGACATTAAGGACGGACGCTATCGATTTTCAGGAAGCTGGTTCAACAGGAACAAAAGTTATAGGACTTTGCATGAATCGAGATCAGGAAAAACTGCGCGCTCAATATAATAGAATCCAACTAATTTGATTCCCTGTCATCTATCGAGTTCAGACTTTCGCTAGATTATTCCCTATTTCTACCCTTATATGATGTGTAACAATTCAATATAACTCTTCTCTGTGGTCATAGGTCTGAACTAACCACCGATTGTAATTTGTAAATCAAAAATTGAAAAACATCTATCTAGAATAGCGAGGGGGAAGTTTAACCGAAAATTTGCCTCAGTTTTAGGATTTACAAAGGATACCGTCGACTAAGTCACTGCCTAACAGACAGAGCGTAATGTGCTGAAGTGCAAATTTTCTTCATCTAGCTCTAGCAGTATGTTCCCAAGTTTCTATTGTCGTCTACTTATCTCTTCAAAGATTGGGTGATCAGAAAGTCAACTACTTCTTCCATTAGATTCTGATATAATTTCCCTGCTAAATTGCAATGATTTGATTCCCAAGAATGCCTGCCCAAACACGTACTTTCTGCGGAAATTGGGTGCGATATTATTCTCGAAACAAGTGTGGATTTTTGTTATCCCAGTACCTATATGTTTGTATACAAATCCATTCAAGAAGAAAGTAGCCGATGTTTTGTAAAAAATTAGGATCTTCATTAATTCTTTGAGACATTAGCCGTCTTCGCCCAGTTCGTCTAAAACTTTGTATGGAAAAAGATCGTTTTCAGAATTTTGTGAACTGGCTGGTGTAAATACACATTAGGTACTCAATTTTGTAACCGTTGAAATTGATGACGTAGGATTTGCAGCAAATTGGCCGAACACTTCAATTGCGCAGACTTCATCCAAAATTCTCGGCTGTGTAACTTTTTTTTATTCCACACGGCTTCCGTGTCCTGGAACGTCGTCCGAGTCCTTTTTGAATTCGGTAGCTTTTATAGCTCTGCCACCTGAACCTTAAGAAACACCTTGGTCATGCTGATGAATATGCGGAATGTCAACTTTTTTATTTACCTACTGAGATATTTTTTTGAAATTTTAATTTGTAGTAAAGGCAAACATATCGCATAAATGCTAACTTTCTTATGTATGAAGATATTTCTTTGACATTTTAACCATAGCCGCTTCTAGTAAAGAAAACCATAACGCGCAAAGCTATAATTATGGTCTTTGGGGATGTACTAAATACATGGAAAATGCGCTAAAGTTACTCGTCTTAGGGCGAAACCTTACTTGTTAAATTCTCACGTCTCACTTTTTCAACCAAAAAATGCACGTTTTCAAACTATTTTACTCGAATCATTCAAAAAGGATTGAACAAATCATTTTTAGTTAAAATGTAACTTATAAAACAAAATTAATAAAGAATGGCATGGGTTTATCGCCAAAATTGACAGTTTTCACAATTAAAATGACCAAAACGATGCATTTTACACGGAAAACTCATAGAACATCATAGATAAACCTTTATTTTTAGCGCATTTTCCAACGAAGTTGGGTTGCGCTATTGCAGCCACTTTCTCTGTTCGCCCGTCTGTCCGAGGCCTTAACTACTCCTACAGTTTTCAAGATATTAAGTTCGTTCTTTTTGCATTCGGTAGCGTATAGCTCTAGCACCTGAGCCAAAGAAAATCTTTAAAATTAAACTGCGCATGCGCAGATTGCGCAATATCAACTTCCTTATTTACCTATTAATATATTTTGTTGAAATTTTAACCACTGATACTTCTGGCACAGATAAAATATTATCTGTGCTTCTGGTGAAGGCAAATATATCGCATACTAGCTGACCCGACAGACATAGTCCTCTTTCTTAGCTATGAATACCTATTCAATTCGGACTGAAATAAATAATAACAAAAAAATTGCTGTGGCTTTGTTTTAAATCGGTTCAACTGTTTAGCCAGAAAAGAGATTTTGACACACTTGCCACAAAATCTCCCCATCTCTCCCCAAAATAATAAAAAATAAACGCTCTCACTTCTATAGTTGCTTTTGGTGATTCAGAGCGAGCAATGTTCCTTTTTTTTGCGCCAAATGCCGTAATTTGAAAGCAATTATTGTATTTCAGGATATGAATAAAAAAATGTATAGAATCTGGCCCATTTCCGGAAACCAAGGAATGTCGTGGTACCCATGGCATCAATTTCACTTGGCCACTGGCGCAACATAATCCACGGGCTTCAGTAGCCTTGCAATGTGGACACACAAAGTTCTTTGGTCTAATAGCAACGATTTAATGTAAACTGTAATCGATTGCTCGATAGGGATTAAAGGGGATATTTCTGCGTTGTTCATATCGATTTCGTTAACTTTGTTTCGCGCTTCGCTTTGCTCGGCAATATGATTTACTCATATACCGGGTGGAGCACGGTAAGTAGTAACATGGGGATTTAACATGGGGGAAATTAGTTTTATGCAATATCCTGCCTTCCTGTACATTTTACAGAAAAAACTGTAGAGTGTAAAGTTGTTCAGAATTCAAAGGTGCATACAAAACTTTACATGTTTTATTAAGCTTTTGGTATACCCGCAAATTTAAAAATAAATTTCAACATTTCTGTTATTAGTACCAATTCATAAAACAACAAAAGTCATGGTTATTTTAAAATTTGCGGGTATACCAAAAGCATAATGAAACATGTAAAAACAGTTTTGTATGTATAAAATTCAACTGAAAATAGAAATTGACTCCCTTAGTGTTTCTGTATAACTATGTATACCACATGTTTAGTCTGTCAACATTTACCAAAAATGGAAATTAGGTATACCAAACTTTTAATATAAAATGCGTGATTGCCGTGAAATAACTTCGAAACTTCTCAAAAAACTTACTGAAATCTGGATAAACTATCCGATCCATTGAGTTAGAAAACTAATGGAGGGAATATAATGGTAGAGGGGGTAAGAATTTTTGTAGACGGAAGTTGCCACAGATAGAGGCCACTCGCGTGGATAGGTTCCCGTGAAGGTACATTTTGGCCGACATTATTTGACATGAAAACGCGGGTCCTGTCACTGTCAGTTTTCCACCAAATTCAAATTTTATTAAATTTGCCATTTTAAAGTACCTAATAATTTCGGATCGGTTTGTGCTCTCGTTTATAACTAACTGCCGCCATAGAGTAAATAATTATTTACTCTATGCTGCCGCATAGTGTTTTTATCACACGCAATTTTGTGAATTGAGAATGATTAGCTGCGTATCATGCAAAATTTCTCATAAAGGGAAGAAACAGGGCATTTCCTTTCATAGTTTATGTTTCTTAGTTTTCCAAACGAACCAGTACTTCGAGCAAAATGATTACCTAACATTTGTAAATATATCTCAAGAACAGCTCTCGAAATTTACTTTTGTGCTCACAACGCTTCATTGACTGTGATTTCGACCAAAGGTTGCACCGGAAAATGTTCATCAAAGATCTCGTCAAATATGCAGTAAGTACTATCAAAACTTGTAATGAACCTGAGACCAACCAATCAATTGTAGCTATTGATCAACACAGTGAATTTAATGGGAGTTGTCAAGTTGTAGTGGCTATAGTAAACTGGCCTTAATTATACTAATGGAACACATCGATGTATATTTAGATTTGTAATCAATGATTATATTAAATCTGCATACTTTCCCATCCTTGTCTATTTTGTTTACTTTACCACGAGCACATATTTTACTCCTTCTATACGTTTTTTTTTGTTATTATTCCTATTAGTGGAAAGAAAATTATATCTCTACGCCACTGAAGTGAGACGCTAATGATAACGGAAGTGGTGTGGTCTCGGGTGTGGTACTTTAATCACAGTTAGAGGCCACGTTTGGTTCCCGTGGTCTACGTCTGGCCAAGCATTTGATTCCCTCCATTACTTTTCTAACTCAATGATCCGATCGAATTGACAGCACACTATGATATAATTTAATTTTTTGACGGATATATTATGCCGATCGATGTAGCTGTTAAAGCAATTGCCGTCGCACCGTCAAACGCGCGATGTGTAATAGTCGATAAGTTTTCTCCAATTTTCGAATTTTCTGCGTTTTCTTAGTTTTTCTTCCCGTAAGAACCTTCTACACAATATTAGAAAACTTAAAAAAAAAAGATGAATGGAATCGGTCAAGTGGTTCTGAAGTTATTGCGTGACCAGAAGAAAGAGGGGTTCATTTTTATATATAGAGATAGTAAAAATCAGTTGTGCGCATGCGCAGACTGCGCAATGGCAACTTTCTTATTTATGAAGGTATTTCTTTGAAATTTTAACCAAAGATGATTTTAATGTAAGCAAGGTATCACATATTGTAAACATCAGGTTAAGGCGCGAAAAATTAACTGTTATTTATCGAGATATCTTTTTGAAATTTTAATCTCAGATGTTGCTGTTAAAGGCTAACATAACTGATATTGCAAAAATTAGATGTGCGCATGCGCAGCCAGTGCTAACTTCTTTATTTATCTTATCAAGATATTTCTGTGAAATTTTAACCATATATGCCTCTAGTAAAGAAATCCACACCGCACATAGGTATGGCCTTTTGGGAAGTACTGATCATTTATGGAAAATGCGCTGAAGTTACTCGTCTTATGGCGAAAACCTTTTTGCTTGTTTTTATAGAAGTCCCTTTCAAAACTAAGCGAGTTATGAGGAAATATTTATTTTATTTTTTTAATTTTTGGCGTTTATTTTTAATTGGGCGGAGTTTCAGGCAAGGATGTTCTACTAAGCCAACTCACTATACATTTACAAATATCCATGCCCGAACTCGGATTTGAACCAGAGACCCTCAGTTCTGCAGTCCAGCTTTTACTCCAACGCGCCACATGGGAGGGAAAATGATGTTGGTCTCTATTTTTTTCGGCGACAAAAAAATGAAAATCCCCTAATAACCATCCCAATCTATATAAACAAAAATGAATGTTTGTCTGTCTGTCTCTCTCTTATGCCTGGCTAAACCGTTCATCCGGTTGCGATCAAACTTTGCGGAATGGTTGGATACCAAGGTTACTGATTTAGTAAAACACTTCTATAAATTCCCATGGGAACGGGAAAAACGGCGTTTCCCAAAACACAATGATATCGCTTAAAGTTTTGAAAAAAACTAATTTTAAATTGTAAAAAAGGCACAGAAATTGGAGGGTGTTCCGACCATAACAATAATTATTGTATTACTATATTTACAATCGTATTAGTTTTGGCACAGATCTGCACATACAGGGTGATTCCTATAGTACCTGCCACCGTTTGGGAGCGTGTAGGTGGTGCGTAGGGGAGTATTTTGATATAGGACACTTGGGGTCGGAAATCTAAAATAAGGGTGCCAGAGCCAAATTTACCTTCTGGAATTTCGCGCCTGTAGGTAGGCAACCCAACCGGCCGGCGGTGCACACGGAGCGATCTCAGGCGGCGATGTGTGGCTGACACTTGATCAGAATTTTGTTTAAACCCACGAAATCCCGTCTGCAACGACGCGTATCAAGTGAATAAACACTATGGCAATAGTATAATAATAGTTGGCTAGATGTAGGAAGTGCATTGAGAACAACGGTGGCCACGTTGAACACTTGTAAACGTTATTGCTTTTGACTGTCGTTTTCCCTCCTTCCCTCCCATGTCGCTTCCTCGCGCTAACTCGCTCTGCATCGCTCCGCGCGAAACGTCGGTCGGTTGGGTTGCCTACATACAGGCGTGAAATTCCAGAAGATAAATTTGGTTCTGGCGCCCTTATTTTAGATTTCCGACCCCAAGTGTCCTATATCAAAATACTCCCCTAGGCACCCCCTATACGCTCCCAAACGGTGGCAGGTACTATAGGAATCACCTTGTATATGTATGTGTAGATCTGTGGTTTTGGTCATTCGTCGAAATATAATATTCATAATCTGTTCATAATAACTTATATTAACAATGCGATGTGTATTTTTAGAATCCGTCGACGATGAGAGTTACTATGGGAGATATGAAACACCGCCACGCACTTCGAGGCAGTTCGATAACATTGAATTTAAGCGAATCGATGAATTAGAAGATGATGCAATTGAACTTCCAAAAATTAGTATAGATTTTGAGGACATTTTACAGAATGCATCAAAATAGTTGCTTTCAATTATAATGTTATCGTTTTTGAGGTTGTTATATACCTATAGTGTATATTTACCCACATATGTAGGTAATAGATAGACCATTGTATATATTGTAAATAGGCCACTAAATTAGTATAATACGCTACAAATCCTAGGGTACCGCTCACTAGAGCGTAGCGCGGCGACGCGTCGCAAAGCGTAGCGGAACGATCCGTATTTAGTTTTAAATGAGAGATGCGCAAACTTGTCGGAAGACCAGCGATCGCCAGCGCAACGAAGCGACCTTTTTCTGTTTCTTCGCATAAAGCGGAAATTATAAACACATCTTCCCCGTCAGAGGAGAATTGTTAAATGAAGATTAGGATCATGGATGACAGAGTGCCGCTCCGCGTCGCTTCGGTGCAGCGCGATAGGTACGGAAATGCGCTACCGTGCGCTCTAGTAAGCGGTGCCCTTTATTCTCGTCATAGAAAATCAGAAATATATTTTTTCTCCAACCACCTGAATAAGACGCTATTTTGTGACAGTGTTCGGTACCTAAAATTGACGTTTTGCGGATTAATCGCTTTCACCATGGCAACTGTACAAAAAGTGGATACTTTTGGTCCTAGTACCAAAAAGAAATTGACCTTGAAAGTTGGCCAATTAAAAAATTACAATCACGGAGATATGTCACATTGACATCGTTTTACATTGCAGGTTGTAAGATATTTCTATACATACAAATCAAATATTTTTGCAGATTCAATGCAAATAATGATGTTACCTATACGTATGGTCGTATGTACATGTATTGAAAATGATTTACGCTCGCTATTTTTATTTAAAACATGTGTAACGTAATTTACATATTCCGTGAACGTAATTTTAATACGTAGACAACCCGCCGTCGCGCGTAACGCCATCTACTTCAGACCCATTGCACTATTATCTGTCATTTTGAATTCAAAATTTGAAAAAGTTAATTGCATTTAATTTTAATTAAAAAACTGTATGGTAAGTTTTTTATTTCAATACAAAATATAACAATATTAATTGTGTATACAATAAAATGACTGAAACTGATAGCGACATGGATTGCACTCCGTCAGAGATTATAGAAACGGCAGAACATGCTACCTCAAGATTTGCTCCCTACAAAGTCGCGAGAGGTGAGAAGTAAGAGGTAAAAACGAATAGGTTATAAGTTAACCTAAAAACTAGAGTGGCATGACACGTGAGGAAAAGAAAGCAGAAGTTCTTATACTATAGTAGTGAAACTGTAACTGAATCTAAATTGGAATATAATTTGAAGTAAAGGGGGTTGGAGAAAAAATTTTATGTTTTATTCGTACAAAAAATGCGTTTTCGGGACTCGGAAGGTTGCTGGACTCCGCTAACGCGTCGTCCAGCAACTATCTTCCTCGTCCCGAAAACTGACATTTTTTGTACTAATGAAACAAATAACTATTTACACTACAATTAATATAGTCCTGAAATTAAAAATCACTTTCAGATGCATCATGCACAATAGTTTTGTATCATTATTTTGCACCATTACAAATATAATAATATACCTACCTAACATCCTAACAAAAACTGCTAGAAGGAAAATAATGAAACAAAGTGAAAGTGTGAATTGGGACTAATTCATAATCTTAACAAATGTATTTTATTTAAAAATTATGTACACATTAACATCAGTAATATGGGTCACTAAACCCCTACGCATAGTTTCAGTATCAAAAACCATGACACAATACAAACTTTTGGAACACAAAATGACTAACAGTAATACCTACTTCGTTTCATTTACCTACGTTTCAAATCTTCTGTTGTTCGTTCTTCTTTTCCTTTTTTTGACTTTTCGGACAATTAAAAAGGTTACGACACCAAGAATGGCTACAAATACAACTCCCACAATCACCCAAATAGTCGAGTTTGAAATGCCGGCATGTTTACTATTCGCATCTACTAAACCAGAAGGTGCCGTTGCAGGTTGTGAAATATTTTGCGCCTCCAAATTACTAACTGTGTTAGTTGTATCCGTAGCTAACGTCTCAGACTCTGTGGTCAAAGAGATGTCGCTGGGTATGAAATCGAAAGGCGCTTCTTTCAAGTATGTTTTTAGTGGGTTGAAATAGTTCAAGAGTGAGTCTGATGAGATTTCGCTAATGCCATAGTGAAAATCAACCAACTCCGCCCAATCTCTATTGGGCCTGTCTTTTATAAATGTGCTAAAAGAAGCAAATACCTATCGACCTGAAGAACGTGCAATTACGGTGTTAGCCTTACCGAAAATTTTTTGCACTTTTAATGCGATTTACAATGTTCTCATGGTCTTCATAATAGCTAAACCGTTCCAGTAGCTGAAACTGCAGAAAAATTCCAAGGAATTTGCTATAAAGTGTGTTTATGAAATTGCGATTTATCCACTCGATTATTTACCTCAGATAAGGTTTATTAAGTGATATGAAGTGATCGCCTAGAAAATCGGCTTCAGTGTTTGAATTTCCTTGCACGCCCTGCCACTTTTTCCTATTACTCCACCAACCTTGTATAAAATTATCTTGTTGATTGTCTAAGTGGTGTAATCTCGTAACGTCGCTAAGTAAATAATATGGTAATTTAGGTAACGTCCTTATAGCTGTAAGTAATAAAGCAGCATTTTTACGCTCAGTCTCGTCACCAAAGCTAGTCCAGGCGTCTTTAGGTACAAAGCCATTTGCGGGAAGGTTATCGAGTGCTATCATTGATCCCAATCCTTGCAAAGCTTCGTCGACAGCCGAGAATCTTAAATCGCGCCGAGCCAACGACGAATAGTCTTGATTTCTTAACGCGATGTTTATGGCGGCGTCGTGAATATCCATATATGACGATAAATCCACTTTGGCGCAAGTTACAGCTCTAAAAATTCCATTTCAAACAAGTTAACAATAAACACTTCACTTACTCCGTATACTTTTCTGCGCAATTACTAAATAGATGTAATTCACAGTTAGAGTGATTAAAGATGCTTTTCTTCCAAAACTGTTTACCCAAGGATCCCAATCTTAATTCCCTTGTGCTCGTTTCGGCTAAACGAAATATTTGCTCTACAGACTGGGGAAGAATTTTATTATATTCATTTAATATAAATAATAAACACTCGACATACTTGCCCCTTTAGCGCTTCCTCAATTTCTTTATATAACTGAGGATGAGGCAAAATTATGTTAGCAATAGCACTCCAGTCTGTTCCAAAATTTGACCCTAAAAGTTTTGTGGGTTATGAAAAATTCTCAAACAGAAAAAAGTAAAAGTTACTTTTCGTAATGGCATACCAAAAATACGACGTTATGAGTTTTTTTTTGCAAAAGGCAGATAGGGTTAAATTAGCTATTCAATTAATCCATTATTGTAAAAATTCTTAAGCAGCAAATTAGATCAAAAATTAACTCGAATTGTTAAGGTAACTAGACAAGCGCTGTGCGCAAGTCAGGTTTTTGGAAATTATTCTTCACTTTGAAGTCGTAGAGATAAACTCGATTACAGTACGCTCAGTAGTCTAAAATAAAATAGTGTGAACTAATCGTTAAACTGCGAAGCAATTTCTTAATGTAGGAAAAGAGACGGAGACTTATGGCGATTTCTTACGGAAACCACGAGTATGTGCATTTACCTATTTCAGAGCAGGGAAACCGAAATAGAGAAGAAAAAAGTTATAGAACATAATTTGTAGACTATATTTAAAAAAAAACTCCGACATCTTCAACCGTAAACGGTTTAAGATAAGAATATACCGATCACGGAGTATTTTGTGGAAAATTACAGGGTCTATCATTTTCCCAAAAAAATGTCTTTGGCTCGTGTCATTTTTAAAAAGTTTAAAAATAAACCGATACAACGAAATATCGAAGGATCCTCAGTATTACAATAACTTTTAACGATAATTTATTTTAATGTTACAAAATACATCAAATTCATGTCTTGGCTATTGAGATAATGCTCTTAATCTTGTTTTGATCAAAATCCATGTGGTCGCCAAAAATAGATCAAATTCATGTTTTGATCATTGAGATAATGCTCTTGGTCTTTTTCCCAACGTTCTTAGTGCATAAATAACGATTTTGACATGTTTTGATCAAAATTCATGTGGTCGCCAAAAATAGATCAAATTCATGTTTTGGTCATTGAGATGATGCTCTTAGTCTTTTGCCCAACGATGTTGGTGCATAAATAACGATTTTGACATGTTTTGATCAAAATCCATGTGGTCGCCAGAAATGCATCAAATTTATGTCTTGAGCATTGAGATAATGCCCCTAGTCTTTTTCTCGACGATCTTGGTGCATAAATAACGATTTTGATTATTTTGATCAAAACCCATAATATGGCAATAATTTAACATTTTTGAATCACACACATGCGGTTATCAAATGTGCACGTGATGTACTCTTGCTGCATCAAGATAATGCGTTTGAAACTCTAAATTCATGTATAAAGTGTAATTTTTGCTACATTTTGCTCTAAAACTTTCGACCTATACCACAGAGAAGAGTTATATTAAAGTATTACACATCTAAGAGTCATAGGGAATATTCTAGCGGAAGTCCCAACCCGATACATGACCTAGGGAATGAAATATGTTGATTTCTATTATATTGAGCCCGTAGTTTTTCCTGTTCCCGATTCACTCGAACTCCTATAACTTTTGTTCCTATTGAACCAGCTTCCTGAAAATCAATAGCGTCCGTCCTTAATGTCCAAAGAACCCGTACACCAAATTTCAACTCAATCGGCCACTTTTAAAAAGAGTTAGAGCGCACACGGACGGACGGACGGACGGACGACAATACAAAACTATAAAGGATCTGAGGATCCTTAATAAATAAATGAATAACGATTTCGACATGTTTTGATCAAAATCCATGTGGTCCCTAAAAATGCATAACATTCATGCCTTGGGCATTAAGATAATGGCTCTTGGTCATTTTTCCAACCATCTTGGTGAATAAATAACGATTTTGACATGTTTTGATCAAATGCCACATGGTGGACAAAAATGATCAAATTCATGTTTTGATCATTGAGATAATGCTCTTGGTCTTTTTTCCAACGATCTAGGTGCATAAATAACGATTTTGACATATTTTGATCAAATGCCACATGGTCGACAAAAATTGATCAAATTCATGATCATTGAGATAATGCTGTTGGTCTTTTTTCCAACGATCTAGGTGCATAAATAACGATTTTGACATATTTTGATCAAAATCTATGTGGTCGCCAGAAATAGATCAATTGCATGTTTTGGTCATTGAGATAATGCTCTTGGTCTTTTTCTCAACGATCTTGGTGCATAAATAACGATTTTGACATGTTTTGATCAAAATCCATGTGGTCGATAAAAATAGATCAAATTCATGTTTAGGTCATTGAGATAATGCTCTTGATCTTTTTCCCAACGATCTTGGTGCATAAATAACGATTTTGACATGTTTTGATCAAAATCCATGTGGTGACCAGAAATGCATCAAATTTGTGTCTTGAGCATTGAGATAATGCGTCAAGTCTTTTTCTCAACGATCTTGGTCCATAAATAACGATTTTGACATGTTTTGATCAAAATCCACGTGGTCGCCAAAAATGGATCAAATTCATATCTTGGGTATTGAGATAAAGCCCCTAGTCTTTTTCCCAATGATCTTGGTGCACAAATAACGATTTTGACATATTTTGATCAAAAAACCATGTGACCTCAGAAAAATAATTTAACATTTTTTAATCACACACATGCGGTTATCAAATGTGCACGTGATATACTCTTTCAGCATCAAGATAATGCGTTTGAAAACCTTTAAAACTCCAAATTCATGTGTAAAAAATAATCTTGAGTACATTATGCTCTAAAACTTTTGACCTAGACCACAGAGACGAGTTATATTGAATTGTTACACATCTAAGAGTCATAGGGAATAATCTAGCGAAAGTCCGAACTCGATACATGAGCTAGGGAATGAAATATTTTGATTTCTATTATATTGAGTCTGCAGTTTTTCCTGTTCCCGATTCACTTGAAGCCCTCTAACTTTTGTTCCTGTTGAACCAGCTTCCCGAAAATCAATAGCGACCGTCCTTAATGTACAAAGTACCCGTATACCAAATTTCAACACAATCGGCCACTTTTAAAAAGAGTTAGAGCGCACACGGACGGACGGACGGACGGACGGACGACAATACAAAACTATAAAGGATCTGAGGATCCTTAATAATGTGTGGTTTTGCATTACATTGGCCATGAACGGCATTCACTTTGCGTTTATACGAAAGGTAAAGGGTCCTTACTTACATACACCATCACTCATATTTAACGTGTGGTCCGCTGCTCGCTTTGAACTGCTTATTGTGCATTTGATCAATGACTATAGTTATTCAGATCATCAGAACATATAATTTCTCATTTGTTTTTAAGGTCATTATTGAGTGTCTGCCACTCGGGCCAGCGCCAGCGTGTGAACGTTTTCTGTAATTTCTATAAAAGAAGAAAAATGCAAAGACACCGACACGCTATTTACAATGGTAGGTACCATTACCCACATACCCTTCAAACGTGACCACTAATGGTCTGACTGACACGTACTGGTACTTGGTAGGTACGTATGAGAGCGTAGGACCACGCAATAATGATTTTTCTTACTCGACCGAAAATTGTTAAAACCACCAAGGCAGAACGTACAAGCGGAAGTTAGCGGTGAGCGCCAACCAAAGCAACCACGAAAATAACCATTCAGCACGTTTTCGCTAAGTCATAGTACCAAAATCTGTGATAGTACTAAAGAAGATCTTCCCATGAGATCGTTTCGACATCGATTAATTGAGAAACCAATCATTATCGGATCCCACACTAAACAAGCCAGAACACAAAGTTGGGCGCTGAGGATTACCCGATTACGTGAAGCTGATATTAGATGGCGTGAGAAGAACTGATGGTATCAAGACCTGAAGAGGAGTAGGATTCCAGACAATTGGCATACGCAAGGCTACTACAACTGAAAAAGAAATTTGTAAAGGACAACAAACTGGAGGAAGGTTACAAGAAGTTTATAGATCTACAGCTGGGACACATGAAACTAGCCACCAATCCGAGAAACAGGATATACATTCCGCACCAGGCAGTCATGAAGCTAGGAGTCCAGTACATAAGGTGAGAGTAGTATTTGACATATCGGCTAAAAGCGCTAATGGAAAAAGTGTAAATAAGATTGTTGATGAAGGACTGCATAAACGATTGAGTGATTACTTATTGGAAAATAATGAAATGATTGAACAGTTATTATTATTTTTTTTTAATTTATTTTTTATTTTTTAATTTTTAATTTTTTAATTTTTTAATTTTTATTTTTTGAAACCTTGTTGAAGGGCTGCATAAATGTTTGAGTGATTGCTTATTGGAAAATAATGAAATGATTGAGACCCAAACAGTTTTTATTATTTTTTTATTTTTTTTTATTTTTTCTTTTTTTCTTTTTTATTTTTAATTTTTATTTTTTGAAACTTTGTTGATGAAGGACTCCATAAATGTTTGAGTGATTGCTTATTGGAAAATAATGAAATGATTGAGACTCAAACAGTTCTTATTATTTAGATAAATAAATTAATAAATTATTATTTAAATAAACTTGAAAAAATTAAAAAAAACTGTCGCGAGTCTCAATCATTTCATTATTTTCGAATACATATGTAAATAAGATGTCAGATCAAATGGAACAAGGAGGACTATCGGTATCACACTATACTATGGAGATCTACGTCAAGAGAACAAATTACCATTATCTCGCAGTAAGAACTTTATAGCAACTAGCCCAAGATAGAGAAGCAACCACCCAGTAACATTGGAGGATTACTACGTGAATGATATGGTAACTGAAAATTGAAACCATGGTGTAAGATTCTATTCTTACACTATGCTGAAACTGTAGGTATCGTCGTCAGATGATCTAAGTAACCTTCAACAGAGATTTGAATGGAAGCAGAAGTGGCCACTGGAGCAGAGACAGAAGCACATACAGCAGGGGATGGCATGGAGTTCGCATCGCAATAGTTCCGAATGAATATGGAGATCTATAAATTAAAGGGCCATGGGTTTCTCTGTGCGTCATGACGGTTATAATGGCTTGAGAAAATTACTGGCGCTAGTCGGGCGGGCGTTAGCGAACGATAATACAATCTTAATGGTTTTACGTGCCCAAAACAGATAGGCCAGGATGGGACAGAATGATATCGTGCAAGTCGATGGGAAACACTAAATTGACAGTATTAAACGGCCGTGAGTTTATAGTTGATGGTTGTTGAGCGCACATGATTCGTGGAGATGAACAAATCCGATTCGTTCACGATTAAAGATGGTTGCCATTTTTGGGGGCCTACTAATAACCTAGGGATTCGTCGAGGAGGAAGAGAATTAGGGCATTCATTTTGAGCCGTCGTAGAGTTCATTGCGGGTAACCAAGGGATAAGCATTCGGTGTCGGGCCACCAGGTCCTCAAGTCGAAGATAATAGTTTTTTTCGGGCACTAAGCGTTAAGGGCATTGGATTTTAGACCGCGAGAACGTTACATGCGTGGTCCAAGAGAATAAATTGTATTTCGGGAATTAAGCGTTAAGCAGTTAGCTGAAAACTAATTATTTCGTGTGGCTCGCGTATTCCGCTAAGTTCCTGATGGAATATCAGTGTAGAACCAGAAACCGAAATTAATTGCGGTGCAATGTAATCATTTCGCTAATCGAGTTACTCATTGCCATAAAATTGTTAAAAAGAAATGATGTGTGTAAACCAAAACGCTGCGATAAAACGTGCGTGAAAATTCAGTAACGTTCAATAGGTAAATTCATCGTGCGTTTTGCTTGAACCTCTCCAAAAAGGATTATTGTGACAGTTAGGGGAAAATTGATGCTCGCGGACGTTTTCCGATGGATAGATTAAAAGCTAGAGTGACAGTTTTGAATCCTGTAAAAATCTCCCTATTAAAGTGGCCTGGAACAATTTCAATCGGTGGCTGTTTGAATTTGGAATAAGTTTATATTGTGACGGCAGACAGTAAATACAGACAGTCCAATTGCCGCGAAAATGCAGCAGATGCGTCAATCTCCAAGAGAATCCTGAAAACGTTAGAGGCCTTAGGTATATCCAAGTTCCGGCATCATTGATTAATTTGGAAGGTATCACCCCTACACAAAGGGCCGTAGTTTGATTATTCTGACAAGGTGGTCTTGTACAATCTCCAAAAATTACCTCTAATTTTCCAAAAGTTTCTTGTATTGATGGTGCCCTTTTTTATTTTCTGAACAATTTCCCAAAATTACCATCCCAAAATCTAGAAAGACTTTTTGAAGATTCGAATAAAATCCAATCGCAATTCTTGGAAATAGTCCAAATTTGCATGAAATTTTCTGGATACACTCTTTATGTAAACGGTCGAGCAGCATCGGAATAAACAGAAAACGTGGAAAAATATTCGCATTAAAAATTTTTTTTTAAATATTCCACAGATAAATTTGGATTCGTTATTTGTATCTTTAATAATCGACATCGGAAGTTGTTTCGCACCCCCGTGCGCCATCTTGGGGCCTAGTTCCGAAACCAAACATTTATTAAGCATTTCATATTTGTCATAGGTATAGGTATATTTCATTTTCCTTCAGCGATCGATTCGGAGGAACACCCACATCAACATTTTCAGCTAAGGCTGATGATGGGAGGTGTTACCCCCCAAATCGACCGCTGACTTCGAAGACAGTAAAAATCTTACCTAGTAAATATACTGGAATTGAGGTGTAATTATCAGCTATCTTATAATACTTTTGAATACGAATCCTCACAAATTCGTGCAACATATTGTACAAAGGCTCCACTTCTTTCCATAGTCGCGCGGCGTGTCGATAGCCATCTTTATACTCGCATAGCATCTCCCAATAGCTCTCCACAGAACCTTCATCTTTTAACAGAAAACAGTTAACAAAAAATAACACCTAATTTCTTACCATTTGGCGGATACGCTTTGTGCAGCAAGCTAACAACGGGTAAATATGCACTACTATGGGAACTATACATATTTTGATGCCCTGACCACAAATTGGATAATGCGGCGACGTTTCTTCGTGATTTCAAGCCTTGAATATATCCTTAAACATGCTTCAGTAAATGCTATGCAACGTAAAGAAATGCGTTATACAAATGCACAATACTTATGGCATTCTCATATACCTTCCTTGTGAACACCAGCACTTATGGACAAATTTTGAATTGAATTCGCAAAGTCAATTAGCTGTAGGAAAAATTATTAAATCAACAATTTCAGATCACCCTTTTACCGTATTAAAGTCTGCTTCCGGCAAGAGAAAATCTCCAGATCTTGTTAAGAGCGTCCAGTTCCGCATAGAATCTAATGGGATGTTTTTCATTTCGCGATTCGTGCTCGATTGCAATTTTAAAAGTTTGCCGCGACGTTTTTCCACTTGAATCTATGATACAATTTATAATTGTACGTACGTATATAATTACCCACCTTTGTGTTTTGTGACATTGGGTTTAGAAGGAAATCCTTAGAGGTCTGTGCTATTTCATCGTATGCATCCATTAAATCATAATCGGCCAACTCGAGCTCAACAACAACGCTTTCTTCTTCATTTTGCTCATCAAATCCATAGCATATACAAATCATAAGTAATAAGCATAACTGGTGTATATTCATTTGAGCTGTAAATTACGTGTCCAGTTACTGAGAAATCGTTTAATCTAGAAGATTTAAAGCTTTTTTGAAACCCTCCTTTCATGTTTTAGGTAAACTGATCTGTTAGATAGTGTTTATGAGAATACATTTATAATGCAGATTTACCAGCAGGCTAACTAGAACCTGAAGCCTAGGGTGGCAAATTTGGCTTAAAAATTGTCTTACAGAAATAAAAAACAAACATTACAATATCATTGAATAAATAATGGTACTATGTATTATTCATGGTGAACTTTTTTTTCATTTTCACTATGGCCGGAATGTCGTAAAGCGTTTAGAGATACAATGCAAACTTATGCAGAATTTTATACTTAAATCCAAGCTTAAAGCTAATTACAACCTTCCCTTTAAAAAAAAAAACAAAAAATGTCATTTTCGAGAACGCGCTGGCGTTCATTTATTTTCGAAGATTTCACAAAATAATTTTCCGCTCTTGAGCGTTTTTTCCGTTCCCGAGCGTTTTTTCTGCCCCCGAGCGCTTTTTCCGCTCACGAGCACGTTTCCCGAGCGCTCGTGATAAACCGTTCGAGCCTAGGTTCGAGCACTTTTAGGAACTTTCGGAACTTTGCAAAACAGCTCGATGCTCGCGAGCATTTTTGAGACAATTAGAGCGCTCGTTGCTCGAGCGGTTTTTTAGAACGCTCGACCCAGTTCTGGCGTTTGATTTGTTTTTTTAAGTATATATAGCCCATATGTATACCTTTAATAAAAATTCCCGGTAGGTATATAACACCCTATATCATTATATTTGATAGTGCGTCATGAAAACAAGAAATTCTCAACGCAAGTAATTAAATGGCAAATTCGACGATAAAAGCAATCGTGTCGACCTTTGATTACAAAATACACTTATACCTATTCAAAGGTGTCGAATAATTCCGCTCAATGAAACGTCGGTAAGTCAGTATCGGCGCTTGAATACAAATAATGGATTTACTTAACAAGAATAAGTGTTGCCAAAGAGTAACCATAATTTACTCTTTGGTGTTACATATTGGGTTCGGAATATCCATATTTTTTGAAATTGTGAATTATGTTAACAAACGGGGCAGTAAGTAATTATTATCGCTATTTTTTAGAGTGTCCACTTTTAGACGATTTTAAAATTCAAATCTACATTCATTTCTGGCATCAAAAATGCTAACAATTTTAAAACTAAAGATTTTGACATTATTTTTGTTTGCTAATTTTGAATAATCGCAGCAGTCCTGGAAACTTTTTCAAGACTTTCATCGGCCACTGAAAAATTCCATAGATGTTAAGGATTCGATTATAGAAAAAAGCACTCTCTTAAGTTTAAGAGATAGGTACGAATTGAATTTTCGAAAGGACCCTTGCATCTCCAGACTTTTAGAGAATTAAAATTGACATATATGTCAAAATCTGGATTGTGTTGAATTCAGAATAAAATGGCGTGTTTATTATAAAAATAGAAAATGGTATGTTTCTATAAAAAAAAATAAGATGGTGCCAACTTCCGGTATTTACTGAAGCGCATCTTGAAATTATTTTATTTCAATTTGCAATGCCCCGGCATTAGATGCCTGTATTACTGCTTTCTATTTATTAAGTGCGTGAAGCTCTGGTGCAGTTCGTTCGGAGCAGCTCATTTTGCAAATTGTTCATTTTGCACACATTTGAATTGATATTCGCAGTACGTAAATAACCACAAAAGTGTTTCAAGCCCCAAGCAAATAGGATGATGCGTGAGGGGACAAGGGAAATCCAATTTCGGGCGCGTCATAGGCATCGTGTACGGACAAGCTTTTACAGCTCCTCTTTCACTCAAATGGAAAGCAGTAAATGGACAGCTAGGTATACAGGCTGTTTTATATATTGATCCGGCTTCAGGATACTTTTATCTAATAAATAGGCACAGGTTATTGAGGCTTATTATAATTTTATTAACTTGGACATTCTTGACATTCTCTTCAGTCATAGAGTAATTACTCTATGCCTATACCTAACATCAAAGGCTTTCAAGTTATTCAAGATTTTTCAAAATGTTTGACGTTTGACTGCTTTTCTTTAGTGCCCTGTACCTATGGCTCCGTTGACTTGAATTTAAAAAGTTTTTTAAAATCAACAATACTGACGTGATTCTACATGCGAATGATTTAAATTTTGATCGCCCTTCTACAGTGTTTTAACATTAATGGTCAATTTTAATATTTCAAACCTTAAAAATTTGGTTTTTTCAAATGAAACCTGCTTTATTTTTTTGCACTTTCAAATTTGGAAAAAATTCTACGTAGATCAATTATTAAATTCCCTATACCTATCTGTTATGGTCGAGGTTATTGTTTTCGTTTTATTTAAAATTTTCTCTTATTGTGGCCGTTATATGCATAATTTTCTTAGGAGGCCTTGAAATAAACGCGTTAGTAGATGCCATTGTAGCATCCGCGAAAACATTACCTGGGGAAAGCTACTAGTTTCAATTTGACGGAGCGCCGGCTCATTCTAGAGCGGGCGGATAAAATATTAATAATTTGCAGTGTCCCGCGCAGATACCACCCGCCGAAGAAATTTTTTTATCGCAACCATAGAGTAACGCAACCCACAAAAGTTACTGTCTTCACATTTCCGTCCGTATGTAAATCGTTCCGGGTTATAGCTCAGTCCCTAGAACTCGTCAGGGGTTACCATATTGGCATATTCCCTTTGTCGATACCAACTACCGACGTCCCGTTCACTCGCAATTCACGTTTGATGTTTTGACTCCACCATCAGTAAGATCTAGCAGTAAGATCTAGAGTGAGATCTTATCGGGGGTTACCATATTCTCTTTGTCGGTACACAGTTCCGACGTCCGGTTTACTCGCAATTCGCATTTTGGCGGAACCCGACAATATTTTTCATTGTATTTATACTTGGTGCGTTTGCCTTAGACCTGTAATTTTAATAATAATTTTCTGAAGAAGTAATAGAAATAGAAATGAAGATGTTTTTCGATAACCCGAAATTCATTAGTAGAGGGCCCTCTAAGGCCTCGGTCCGCCCCTGACTACACGGCCCCGATAGGCACCTGTACACACTCCTAGTGTTTTTACAAGCGTTCTTCTACGGGCGCGCATTTACTGCCAGCCAGCCAGCCAAAGTAACATTAAAAGCAACCTTTTTACAAATAAATTTGCAAAAATGCGCTAAAAATAACCTATTATTAAATCCACCTTTCCTCCTACAACATTTTCACCACTTAAAGTGGTTGAAGATTTCTATCTCTACTTTTGTTAATTTTTGCGCATTTTCCAACGAAGTTGGGTGCGCTATTGCAGCCACTTTCTCTGTCCGTCCGTCTGTCCGAGGCCTTAAATACTCCTACAGTTTTCAAGATATTTAGTTCGTTCCTTTTGCATTCGGTAGCGTATCGCTCTGGCACCTGAGTCAAGGAAAATCTTGACGATTGAGCTGCGCATGCGCAGGCTGCGCAATGTTAACTTTTTTATTTATTAATATATTTTGTTGAAATTTTAATCACAGATACTTGTAGTAAAGGCAAATATATCGCATATAGTAAAAATCAGTTGTGCGCATGTGCAGACTGCGCAATGCCAACTTTCTTATTTATGGAGATATTTCTTTGAAATTTTAACCAAAGATGCTTGTAGTAACAGCAAACATATTGCATATTGTAAATATCAGATTAATAAGCGCTTGCGCAGGACGCGCAATATCAACTGCGCAGGACGCGCAATATCAACTGCGCAGTAAGTGTCAACTTCCTTATTTATGAAGATATTTGTTTAAAATTTTAACCATATATACCTCTAGTAATGAAAAACATAGCGCACATAGGTATGGCCTTTGGGGAAGTATTGATCAATTTATGGAAAATGCGCCTTAGGGCGAAAACCTTTTTACTTGTTTAGCTCTTGCCCCCCTCTGTGAAAGTGAAAGGTACCGTCTTGTAATAAAGTTTCTTTTATAAAACAAATTCCTCTTGCTCTGAAAATTCCTTAGCTATGATCATACACCTACTAACTAAATGTATATTCAAGGATTTTGCAAAATGATTTATTAGATATTTGGGCTTTTAGAACTGTAAAAATGCCAATTTAAAATATACAGCGATTATTATACCTATACAAGTACAACCACGATACACTTACTGTATCGTATACGTACAGCTTATTCGCTTATTCACAAATTGTTAAATTACTCGTTACCTGCGGTAAATCTACTTAAATTGTTGTATGTAGGTAAGTATAATTAAAGTTTTTTCTATAAAAATAATGACAATGAATTATGAAACAATTATACAAAAAAAGTGTCTGGACAATGACAAAAAAATGTAAACGTATAATTTTTAGAATTATATAATCTTTATCACTTAAAAGAAATAACATTACATCATATAGGTACATGTTTTTGTGAAAGAAGGTTAATTTGTAAAACATTGAAGTTATACTCGTGTTGCAATTAAAAAGGAAAAAATTTAAAATAATTTGGGGAAAAGCCCCATAATTCATTAAACATTTTAAACATTTTTTAATGAGTATCATATTTTGTGGCTTTTGACACCTTCATACTGCTATAGTACTGATTAATTATAGAAGGAATTTCCCATCCCCTTTAATTACAAGATTTTAGAATTATTTGAAATACAATAAAGTCTGGTGATGCGAAACGTAAACCGGATATCAGAGAGGTAAATACGTTGCCGATTATAATGAATGAAGGTGGGTAAACAGAATAAAGTTACTGCCGGTGATCCACATAGGAAATTATCACTATAGGTAGTTTATTACCTGATTACTTTTCTATTAATTACACTTCAAATAGCATAAATACTTACATTACAACCGCCACACACGAAACTTGAGCACTGCGACAAGGTACGGGTAGATATTAACGCGTACCCGCTGTTTCAATTGAATGACATAAATCGTGGAAGATATTAAATAAAAACAACACGCCGGCTTAGTCTTATCGGTGTACCTATATTTGCCTCTCACGTCATTACCTTTAAAAGAGCATGTATATGTACATACTAAAATAGCGCAAATACGAATCTATTTTGTCAGTATTTAACGCTAAATTACATAACGTTCTTAGTAGGTATAGGACATTGCACCAAATTAAACTACTTCAAGACCTTGACCATTTACTACCTAAAACTGAATCACTGAATGATTATTACCATTTCCCGACCAATAATAATTATTTAAAGTGGATACTATATACACAGCATGTTCATATTATATATATTGTCCGTAAACTGGAGTAGTCAGTACACTACAAAATAACAATGCTCTCATTTCGTATGATAGCATGCCGGTTTTTAGCGCATTTTTGCAAATTTATTTGTATAAAGTAGCTTTTAATCTCACTTTGGCTGGCTGGCTGGCAGCAAATGTGGGCGCGTAGAAGAACTCTTGTAGAAAGGCAACGGGTGTACATGTATCTACAAGGCCGTGTAATTTGTCAACCTTAGGGACAGGGCTACATGATGTGGGGTTGGCGGCATCTGGGCGTCATCCTGGAGCGTAGTTTACTAACGTTAAGGTTTTTCAGTTTTTTCCTATCTTCTACTACAGTTTTGGTCCGATTCTTTTCAAATTGGTGTCGTCGGAAAGATGTAAACGCGCACAACTCCTGCGGATTTTGTTTTTTGTCATAGGGGCGAAATTAACGACCTTTTTCAAGGCGCACGCCATTTCTACCTCTATGCAACTGTTTGATCAGCAGTCAATCTTAATTTATAAGTTCGTGATACTTACTTACGTAAAGAATATTGCGATATTTATTTTTTAGACGACTTGATTCGAAAATGACACATATCAATATTGTAGCCTACCTTAGAAAGTTAACAATTGAACATACTGATGTGGATATGAAATTTATCATGCACGGTGCGTGTCGCGTGATAAGAGTTAGTGAGGTTGTTTTTAAAAGTCAGGTAGAAATTCAGTTTGATGGAAGCTTTACTGGGTTGTCAAATAATAATCAGTTTCATATAAATTTATTTCGGTTCATTATGCATCAAATTGAAGGACACATTAGTAAAGGATTAGTTATTGAAACTGATGAATTTGGATTCTGGAAACTCAGCCACAGTTGTCTCTGATGTAAAAGTTGAGCTAGGCGGCAACATTTGATTATAAGAGTCATCTCCAGGAAGATTTTCAGACGAGTTTCATATAGCTGTAATTATTTTACCAGCCACCTTCATTTTGTGCCCAATAGACTCTTGTATGTATCCCTCTGCAACTGAAGTGACGTTTAAGATCTTCCATACTGCCACCTGCATCCATAAAAATTGTAGACGATGATCGTCTCAAGCAGTGACCTGTGAATGCAGCAGGATCTTCCAAACCCAAATAGGTTTTGGTATACCACCAATTTTGTTAATCCCCACAGGTTGGTTTGTGCATTTGGAGTTCTGATAGTTTAAAAACAGCCGACGTTTCCGTCGTGGGTGGCCGAAGAACTGCGTATTTTCGATATATTTTGTAAAATTCGTCAATTATTGTAAAAACACGCTCTTTTTGGTTTTTGTGACCGGTAGTTTTACAATAAGTGCTGATCCTGCATCCTTGATATAATCAACTGTAAGTTGAACCAGTTCGTGTCGTCTCACAGCGCCGCTAATTCCAAACGCCAAAATTACCTTATACAATAAGAGCCAATTTAATTAAAATGGAGAGTTTGATCACAAATACTTACTTTTTGTAACAAATATTTGTCGTCTGGAGCTTCAGTTATGCATTTGTTTATTGGTTTATAACCATGCGCCTTTCGTTTCAGAAAAGCTTTCAGTTTAGGATAAGTACCTACATTGACATTCTGATGAACAATAAGTGTACTTCTTAGCATAGAAAACTGCGTCCATAAAAAGTATTGGGGCTAATTTTAAAGTGTTGTGTGGTAATATCGAGGATTAACTAATAAAATAAACGGACGATATTAAAAAGTACAAAATGTCTTTTTATGTCTTACTAACCTATCATAGCACATTTTATATCTGTGATACGCGGGCATAAAGTACCACTTTATGCCCTAGGGCATTAAGTATCACCATAGTAACTCATTTATACTTAATGAGAAAACAAACAAATTTTTGCAGGTCATTGAAAATTAGAAACGTCAATTATTAATTGCCAATACCTACTAAATCACAAGATTGGCCTTGTTTCGTATAGTTTCTGGAACTTCTTGCTCATTCACGATGAATTGAATTATTTAAAATTACGTTTGACGTTTGGATGGTTTCAGTCACATTCACAAATTCAAACCACGCATACTCAATCAAACATAATGAATTATTTTGTAAACGAATTTTGACGAAGAAAACTATTTGTAAAACATAAAATTGTGTATGTACCACGGGCATAAACTGATGTTTATACTCTCGGGCGACTAAAAAGCTCTCGGGCCATAGGCCCTTCCAAGCGCTGGCAACATGAGTTACTGACCGATTTACGTGATTTTAATTATATTTAGATACAGCATGTTCCCTTAGGGGTGATATTCAATACAAGTATGCAGAACTACATTTTGAATTTATAATTGAACTTATTGCAGCACACTTCACTTTTGTTTGCATGAATATGTTACTGTTTATTTACAGGGTGCTTCATTTGGGGGCGAGTGACGTACGTTAGGTGGTTGATTGTTACATATTGCACTTGATATTGAGAATTAATTACTTTATACTAATGTTTGCCACGACATGTTTCTTTGTTTTGTTGTAATGTGATACATAACGTTATGCTCCTACTATTTATTTGAACCGGGTAATTATGATTATTAATATTTGGCAGGGTGACTTGTTTCGAATATGTACTGTGCTATATTTGATATTGATATTTGACACCGATATTTAATCTCGATTTGACGTAGCAAAGGCTGGCTAAAGTTCAGAACTGACATACACAGAGTTTATGTTTTATGTACTGTTTTTTGTGTCTTTGAAAAGAGCCATCTTGCCGATATTGCTAATCAATCCGATTAGTCGAACCCTGACATGTAGTGACCGAATATAGGTTTTGTGCAAGGTTATAGTTTATTTGTTTAGAATTTGTTGAATTTTGAAGTGCATAAGGACATATATTAGCTGTAGATACCTGTTTGGTGCAATATAAAGGCATTTAGTTTGTGAATTTTGTGGGTTTTCATAGCCGTGATTGAAAGGTTAGTTCAATTATATGCACTTTTGTATGTTATAATTAAGTATTTTTTTTAGATGAGTGGCGGTAACACTAAAATTCCTCATCCTGATGTAAATAAAATCTCGGTTTTTTCGTTTCCCAAAGACCATACCGTTCTTAAAGAATGGGTAAGAAAATGTTTCACATCCGACAGCAAACTAACACGTGCTGCGCCCTCATTGGTCAAAACGGCCAACCGATGAAAGCTCGACTGCACTTCAAGAAACAAAAAGCTCTCCACCTGCAGTACCAGGTCGCCTTGCCAGTTGGACCTCGCGCTACACTCCACCTCGGTTACCATTTTGTACATACTATAAATATACACACTCCAAAAAACGCAACAGCATTTTCTTTAGCGTCGTCTGCTAAAGAATGTTTTAATTCCCAGAGCCTTGTGTATTAATACATAGGGGTGGTTCTTTTTTTGTAGATCGCGGAATTTTATCCATTTCCACCTCTAAAATTAATTTGATTACATTTTCACAAGTCCTCGTGCAATGTAAAATAGCTTACGAACCACAATTTTTTCAATACTTCGATTGCTTTCAGAGGTGGAATTCGATAAACTTCCAAGATTTCCAATATAATATCCACCCTTATATACATATACCCATATAATCCCAAAAATTTACTGAAAAAACTACATTTTTTAGCCCTTTTATTAGCATTGTAAACCTATGAGCAATTTTAAATGTGTATTCTGGATGACATTTTCCCGCCTTCAAAATGCAAGCATTCTATTGGTTTAGAGTTATCAGACAGCCTTTCTAATAAAACGAAACAACCCTGGGTTTTGTGTCAGTCTTGTTATGCCAGTGCAAATATGTCAACTGTCAACGCCTACATAAATTCTGTATATAATCCCAGAACAAAAAACTTAGAAGGGAAACGTAAACGGGAACAACTGAGTACAAATGGAATTAGTTTGGAGAACATTCAATAGATGGCGCATAGTTAGCGTGCGTGTTAAAGTTACTTCAATCTAGTGACTTTAGTACGTGTCGCCATTATGACAGTTGAATTTTGAATTTTGATTGACGGCTTATTGTGCTTTAAGTATAATTACTATTCATTATTTACAATGAATTATGCATATACAAATCGAAAACGTAAATGTTGTGTGACAAATTGTGAAGACGTTTCCCAAAAATGGAGCCCGATGTTTTTATAGAATTGGTTTAGAATATAATGTGGAAGAAATTTACACAAAAGTTTTTGGTTTGTGAACATCATTTTTCTGGTTGCGCTTTAGAACCTGGAACACGAAGAGGTTTAAAGCGTGTGGCAGTTCGCACATTATTATCTTTAGCAGGTAACACTAATTGAATTGTAATAAATTGCTACATATTTTGTTTTTAGAACAATCTTGAGAGTATCATAAAGCAGAGTTCCATGAAGTTGATCTTGTATCTTGTATATCCATATTAAATTAAATATAACTCCTTGGTTGGATTAATTGGAGTTGTTACTTATAAAACAAGTGGTCTGTACCCTTTGAAGCCCCTGACTGCTGTGCATCGGCATTAAACTGAATTTATCTGGATCCCTATCAAACAAAATTGGACTTCACTGGCTGGATTCATTTACCTTTTAGGTTTCAGCTAGTCAAATCCAATGTTATTGTTACAGATCCGGAGAAATGCAGTATAATGCGGACGTAGCTTACATTTTAATATTTAAATTTGGCGCCATTCATGCAAAAGCTGCTGAGAACATACACGAGATGGCGCGTCATTTTTACATTACATTAGAGTTTCCATTCTAAGTTTGTTGTTCTATGTATATAATGTATGCGTACGAGTTTGCCGATGGTTGCTCTATTTTTGTCATGTTATGATTTGTCTTTTGATCAGTCAGTACTCATGGTAAAGAGCCTGGAGTTCGGTAATTTATAACCCGGCACTTTATAACTAGTGGGTTGGACTGGCGCTAGAGATGTGTGAATGAAAGAGTTGGGGTCCCGCTTAGTCGTACATGAGGGTGCTGGCTAGGCCCGGCCCCACCTGCGCAGGAATTCGCTAAAAGCGTGCGGCGTGTTCTCGTTGTGACCTTTTGTTTTTGTTATCAATTTGGGGTATCCTTCCTATGTGAAAGGCTCGTCTGAGAGGCCAACTCCTAGCGATTTCATGCAGTGTTGACATGTCATGACCAGAGCAACTAAAGACTACTTGGTGTGGGATTTGGACTGGCCATATCCAATATCCAAACCTATTATATGAATTTATTGTACTGTTTTAATGATTGTTTTTTGTTATGTTTGTGAAATATTGATTCTTTAGGAATTCCAGCGGAGCCTGTGATTCAACATTATCTTAATTTACTTGACAACCATCATAATATGCATTCCTGCCATTACAGACACCTAATTTTGCTATAAAGTTCAATATTAATTTGTTGACTGGGCTTTTTCTTGGTCAGTTCTTTTTCTCCTAGCCTATTCTTCTATTTGTACTCGGTGAACTATCATTTTCTAAATTTAATCTTCCAATGCGAATTATTTGGATTAAATCTCCGTTTTTAAAGCATGTACTTGTTTTATTTGTATTCCTTACTAACTTGATCCTCACCCCGACAGGCAACACATATCTCGTAGCGACTCTTTAAAACACAACGTAGTAGTGGTCCTATTATTCGGTTATTCAAGTTAGATAGCTTTGTCTAGACGATCACGTGCCATGGGGTTCAGTTAGTTTGGGAGGGAAAGTTTTGAATTTGAATCTTGAGGTGCGCAGTCTCTCGGGGCTGGCCTGGGTACATCACAATGTAGTCCCATCTGACGATGAATCACTTGTTTTTCAATATGAGTATTTTTTAACATTACATCAGTATCTCCCATTTTGAATACCTTTTATGCCCATTTGCACCGAAAAATTTAAGCGGAGCTTAGCTTAAGCGTAGCTTAAAATTCATGGCAACCATTGTCTCAACAATCGTTGCCATGAATTTTAAGCTACGCTTAACCTAAGCTCCACTTAAATTTGTCGGTGCAAACGGCCATTAGTGCAACAGCGAATTTGATGAAATTGAAATTTACTGTTGTTCGATTCATAAGTATCAACAGAGACGGATAAACTTTCGTTCTTTCCTTTCAGATTGAAATGAAATGAGTGAATTTCCAGTTTTTGGTGTTTATTTAAGAAATCTTCGTTTTACATACCTATGTAACGAGAATAAAACTTAATATTAAAGTATTAAATAAACAATGTACATATCTATAATATCTGGTTTTGACTTTACTAATTAGACATCATCACTGCTATTATGTATTTCATTATTTTCAATAGAAGAGTTGGGTGACATATCTTGAGACTTGTCGTCTTCAATTTCCAATGTGTCTGATGTAGTGGTTGTACTTGATAGCTTCCTCGCTAATTTAAAAACAAAAATTCTTAACGATACTATATGCACAGGGTCTTTCAGTAACTATTATGTGAGCGATATCCAGTAGCTAACTTTTTAGTTTATATTATTTCTTACTCTAAAATATGTTGAATAACGAAACAAATATGTTTTCCCAATAAATCGAGAGCCCAACGTTTTGCATTTGGGAGCTACTTTAAAAAAAGATGAAATTCGCATTTCTTTTTAGCACATTTTCCAACTCATATTGGAAGGCACTATTATGGCCACTTTCTCCGTCCGTCCAAGGCATTAACTACTCCTACAGTTTTCAAGATACTATAAAAAGTCAGTGGTTTGTCATAAATAAACTTTATTTTTAACAAAATTCATTAACTATGAAAAATTGATTGATATAATACAAAATTAATTATTAGTCAAAATTAAAACACTATAGTAACGCACAAACAAAACCAAACATTCGGCATCTTAGACAAGGAATACTCTTTCCGAATCTAAGTTTGGCATACTAAACTGTTTAAATGTTTGAATGCCCTCATATATTCAACATTTACTTCGCTCTTTTTGCCTTCGATAGCTTATACAGGGTGACAATTTTGAAACTTGCAGTCGGCCATATTTTCCAAACTAAAGAAGATATTGAAAATCGCGAAAAACCATTTCGGGGGTATCGAGGGGGAATTAGAATGACGTTATGAGTGACAACCCCCCCCCCCTCTTCAAAAATCCTAAATGACAACTCCATACTTGTGACACATCGTTGGAAAGCTACTGAAAAATGCTTTCCAGTGGTACCAATAAAGTCAATATTGATTAAAGGCAATTTTACAAACATTTAACAATTAACCAAAAAAATTTAAATGTTGACATTGAGGGATTTATGGCAAATTGGCTAAGAACTTCAACCTGAGCTGCTTCATTAAGCAATCTTGGTTGCTTTCTGTTTTTATTGATAATAGGTCCCGTTTCTTCGAATTTAGCGACCAAATCTTGAACATAGGCATGGCTTAATTTTTATTTTTTTTGGTTAATTATTAAATGTTTGTTAAATTGTCTTAATGAATATTGACTTTATTGGTACCACTGGAAAGCATTTTTCAGTAGCTTTCCAACGATGTATCACAAGTATGGGGTTGCCATTTAGGATTTTTGAAGAGGGGGTGCTGGGGGGTTAAGGTGGGTGGGACGTTGTCACTCATAACGTCATTCTGGTTCCCCCTCGATACCCCCGAAACGGTTTTTCGCGATTTTCAATATCTTCTTTAGTTTGGAAAATATGGCCTTGAACTATTATAATTGCAAATGCAAATTTCGGCATAGCGTTGGGCCTTCAGTTTATATGAAAAAAAAAATAGTTGTTTTGGTGCTCTCCGTTACCAATTTTTTTTACTTTACTTTTCAATGCAATTTACGTAAGAAACGCTAATATTAATTTGTAAATTGTAGTAATGTAGTTAATGAAACACCCTTTTTAAAGAATAGTTTCTCTCTGTATTACTTATTTAAAATTGCCATAAAATAAAATAACAAACCTGCGCTTTGTTGAGGATCTTTCTTATTTTTTGTGTAGCATATAAAAACTTGAACTGCTGCGTCTTCACGGTTCTTTTCTGGTATATTAGAAATCAGTTTGTTTACTCTAAAATAAACAAACAAAATATTAGAATTAATTAACGCTATGAAGTAGGAACAATTAAACATGAATCAGTTTCCGAGTTGTTGAGTAGTATAAATCAATCATATGTACACTTACAGTTCTATTTTTTCTTTGGTAGATAGTGAAACTGTAAAATACTTCACATAATTAAGAAATTGATAATGCGTTTGTGACTTAACAGAGTACTTAATACCCATACTAACTAGCTGATAAGACTGCTCAGTCCATCGATTCATTATAAGCTGAAATCGTTTACTAAGAGCCTAAAAATGAAATTCAAAATAAACTTAATCTTTAACGCGTTTTTATACTAGCCTGAAGTTCCATGCGGGTTTCTTCCGTGTCATTAACCACCAACTGTGTAAATTTATAAATTAAACATTGCAGTACTATCCCAATATTAGTAACAGGGCTCTTTTCATGAATTGTTTTCAAACCAGAATCAAATATGTCACCATAATCTTTATTATGCTGAAAAAATGTTTAGTAAGATAAAGCCAAAGTGTATATGAGCGCACTTACCGAATTGTAATATGTATACAGTTTTACAATTTCAGTTGTGTTAATTGAATGAATCAATACTAAACGCATTACGTTCGCCAAAGAAGTTCGTCGCATACGTATAGTTTCTTCTGCAAATAAACAAAAGGTTCAATCGTTCAATGAAATAGTTGTACTTGACAATTACCTGTTAAATAATCATTAAATAACGATTTTTGACAATAATCCATTATATATTGGGAATCTGTGGGTTTGAAGGCAGGTGGAATTAGTTCGCACAGTATTTCTTTTATTTTTGAAGGGTCTTTTAAGCCATGATGAAACTTTGAGTAAGTCTCACAAATACACTCAAATGCCTGCAATATATTATAGCCTTTTATACATGAAATAACAGATATTTATATAATAACATACAATCTAGGCCTTTCAAGGATCCATCACAAGATTATTGTAATTGTCAAATCACTGAAGAAATAACAATCAAGTATTTCTGTGACAGGTTATGGGCCTAGCTTTACCCATAAGTACCTACTTATGAAAATCAGTGTTTGCATAGGTTGGTTCAAATTCGTGGCTTACTATTTGGATCTCTGTAACGGTGAGAAACACTGTATAGGTTAAATGGGGGCAAACCTGCCCCTTTTTCTAACTAAAAAAACCATTTGAAATGTTTGAAAAATCTTAGAAAATAACTGAGATATCACCGCTAACAACTTTTGACATTTTATTATATCTTCTTCACAGTCTTACTGGGATATATTTTGCAAAACCAGCTTCCTTTCTTTGTTTTCTCAGTTGCACAAAGTTCATTCGCCTGGTTTTTTTTTGCGTAGGTTCTCTTTTATTTTTGTTCACAATCTTCTGCAATTTTTTTTATTTTCCTTGCATTCTAATCGTTTTCTTTTTCTTTCTTGAATTTCTTGTTGTTTTTTGTTCTCTTTCTTTTTAAAGTACTCTTTCCAGTTGCTACTGAAGGATTTCTGGTGTATCTGGTCAAAACAAATAAAAAGTGTTACACGTCATCAACAGAAGAAAATAGCACGCCAATTTAAATCAGGACGTGGCGCATTTACATTTATGATTATTTATTTACTTTTTGGCGGAATGAGTTGGCAGATTCGGAATTTTTTTTACAATTTTCATATTGAACTTTTGATTGATGTCAATCTGTCAGTGACGACACGAATCATTAGACATTTAGCAATGTGACTGGTGCGGCGGGAAAAGTGACAGGTGCGGCCGGTAAAGTGACAGGCGGCAGGAAAAGTAGTCTGGTCTCATTGAAATAAAAGCATAGTGAGATTGCGACAATTTGCATTACTCCGTATTGAATCAACAGAAATAATTATTCAGGTAAGTTGCCAAACGAAATATATCGATTTGTTGTCATAACCTCTAAAGCAGGTTACTCATTACTGGACACTGTCTTGTACTTGTATTTGTTCAAGTACATGTACCAATAAGACTGTTCCTCGGCCATATCTCGAGAACCGTGCGCCATATGCCTTAAGGGTAAAAAAATTATTGGGTAACTCGGTCATGAAGAATCGCTGGAAAATATTTTCAAGTTCCAAAAACAGAGGGCGTAACTGCCATCTTATATTTTATAATTGCATTTTCTCTAAATTTCGCATAATAAACTAAAATTTTGTTTTCGCATTTTTAAAGAGAACCAGTTAATCTATCATTTTTGTAAAAACAAAAACTCAGTTATTTCAAAAACAAAGATGGTGTGGGGAGTTCAATTGTTTTTGCAATAACCTGCTTTAACTTTTTAACCGTTTGACCGATTTTAACAAATTTGGTATGGTTGAAAAGAGCATTCCTTGGGCAATGAGAATCAATATAGTTAATTTACTTGAATCCTTCTCCGCCAGGGGGCTAGTTTTTACACTATGATCCAAAATCCTAAAAAAATCAAATGGAATGATGACTTTTTCTTTATGAAAAAGTAGCCAAATAACACCCAGAGGCCAGTGAAAAACGTTTTTTAAAATCTCGTTCTTAACCTCAAATATTGGGAAAATGAGATTACTTAATTAATAAAAATGCTTAAATTGTATCTTAAATTTACTTTTTACGTATTTCCGGTATTTGTCGATGGCGCGAAAGAAAAGCACCCTACACTTTTAGGTAGGCCTTGGAAAATTAAACAAATGAAACACGATGCATTATAAAATAATAACAGCCGTAATTTGTAAATTATTCTGCTGTGTTTACGCATTCAGAAAGTGCAGTTTTTTGAATTTGTAATCTTTTCTAAAATGCCGATTTCTAACCAAGAAGCATTTAATATGCTGGCGATATATTTTGAGTATTTTCAAAATGCGATCATCGCTGCCCACGTCTTCTATTTGTGTTATGCGAATCGGCCACGAACCATATTAAATGTTTCTTGGTTAGAAATCGGCATTTTAGAAAATATTACGAATTCGAAAAACTGCACTGTCTGAATGTAAACACAGCAGACTAATTTACAAATTACGGCTGTTATTATTTTATAATGCATCATGTTTCATTTGTTTAATTTTCCAAGGCCTACCTAAAAGTGTAGGGTTCTTTTCCAAACAATCTTTCGCGTCATCGACAAATACCGGAAATACGTCATATAAGATACAATTTAAGCATTTTTATCAATTAATTAATCTCATTTTCCCAATATTTGAGGTTAAGAACGAGATTTTGAAAAACGTTTTTCACTGGCCTCTTTGGGTGTTATTTGGCTACTTTTTAGCGCATTTTTGCAAAAAAATTTTTTTGTAAAAAGTAGCTTTTAATCTCACTTTGGCTGGCTGGCTGGCTGGTCGGCTGGCTGGCTGGCAGTAAATGCGCGCCCGTAGAAAAACGCTTGTAAAAAGACAAGGAGTGTACATGTAACTATCGGGGCCGTGTAATTAAGAACGTTAGGGATGGGGCTACAAGATTTGGAGTCGACGACATCTGGACGCCATCCCCGAGCGTATTATACTAACCTGGAGATTTTTCAGTTTTTATCTATCTTCTTCTACAGTTTTTCTCCGATTGTTTTCAAATTGGTGTCGTCGGGAAGATCTTGTCAACGCGCACAACTCCTGCGTGGCGGAATTTTGTTTTTTTTCCTAGGGGCGAAATAAACCACCTTTTGCGCGGCGCGCTTCGAGGGGTAGTCGACTTTGGGCGCCCAAAAGTTTCTTACAGCGCGAATCACGGTCTCTCTTTCTCGTGTCACTAATAGAAGGTCGAGCTATGTGAAGTACCCAAAAGTTGAATACGATTTTATGCCGGGATTTTAGCGAAATCTACCAAAATGTGAATTACGAATGAACGGGACGTCGGAACTGTGTATCGACAAAGGGAATGTGGTAAACCCCGACGAGATCTTACTGATGGTGGAGTCGAAACTTCAAATCCGAATTGTTGCGGGTGATCAGAAGTGGGTCTCGACAAAGGGAATATGGTAACCCCCAAAGGATTTTAATAATGGTGGAGTCAAAACTTCAAACGCGAATTGCGAGTGCACGGTAAGTGAGAAAATGGTACCGACAAAGTGAACGTGGTAGCTTTCGGCAAGATCTTATCATTCACGTGGAGTCAATATTGGCTAATAAAACACTGATCTGCCACACAAAAATGCGCTGAAGTCCCTTCGATCTCACACGAGGACTTTGATCATTTTTCATAAAGAAAAAGACATCATCCCATTTGATTTTTTAGGATTTTGGATCATAGTGTCAAAACTAGCTCCCTGGCGGAGAAGGATTCAAGTAAATTAACTATATTTTGGTTGATTCTCATTGCCCATACCAAATTTGTTAAAATCGGTCAAACGGTTAAAAAGTTAAAGCAGGTTATTGCAAAAACAATTGAACTCCCCACACCATCTTTGTTTTTGAAATAACTGAGTTTTTGTTTTTACAAAAATGATAGATTAACTGGTTCTCTTTAAAAATGCGAAAACAAAATTTTAGTTTATTATGCGAAATTTAGAGAAAATGCAATTATAAAATATAAGATGGCAGTTACGCCCTCTGTTTTTGGAACTTGAAAATATTTTCCAGCGATTCTTCATGACCGAGTTACCCAATAATTTTTTTACCCCTAAGTCATACAACGAACGGTTCCCGAGATATGGCCGAGGAACAGTCTTATTGGGTCACCCAGTACAATTGGAAGCTGCCTAAGTATCTTTCTTCGGTATTAAAACCACCAAGGTGAAATACAGAAGAGGAAAAATGCCATTTTTCAAGAGCAACAAGACGCCATTTTGAGATTTTTATCGGCCCTTTCGGACGTTGCCAAACTTCTCAGCATGGCCTGTAAGTATAGACGGCTGTGGTAAAAGTTATTCCTTGCCAATAAGACACTCTAGTTATTGTCCGCATTTTATCTGTCTGTACAACTACTAGTCCTCCAGTTTAAGCTTTTTCTTTGCGGTTTCTTTCTTTTACTGTGTAGCACAGCCTGGAGACCAGAACAACACAAGATTTTTTGGATTAGTCACTTCCTTCCCAAGTTACTGATTCGGTGGGGGGAAAATGCGCTTTCGTCGGTCGCGAGTGACCACGTCTATACTAGTTAAAGATAATTAATTGCTTTGACGATAACTAGGCCTGTGACGATCCCAGGGTCATTTACCTTAGCGTGTAGCTTCTACATCTAGCGTTTATGGAAATTCTGATACCAGATTCAGATTCCAATGTAATTCTAATTTCTAAGAAAAAATGAAAACGAAATTTGACATTTTCAGTTTTCCGGATATATCTCATATTTCAAAAGGGTTTTTTTTAAGTAAGGCAAAGGGACAACTTTGCTCCCATTTAACCTTATATCTCACCGCTATGGAGATGATAAGTCACCAATTTGAACCACCCTGTACGCAAAAATACTTACAGCAGAGTACGTATTATCCGACAAATGTTGCAAAATCTTTACGCAATAATCAATATAAGCGTTAAAATCGTTTTTTACTTTATGAATATTTTCTTCGATAAGAACGGAATCCTCTTCGAATACAATTTCAATTATACTGGTCAATTGCCAACATAAGGAGTGATGGCAAGCTTTTAACGCATCTTCTATAACCTACGATTCACAATTAATACTCGTTTAGTTAATATTTCCAATTCAATTAAGTATGTATTGAAGGGCAATTTTTCATCAAATGGGAGTGGGATTGAAATATTTTCACATACCTTGGTAGGAAACTGGTTTTCTACAATGGTTTTGGCAGAATCGAACAAGAACTTAAAATCCAGAACGTCCTGCATATCGCAGTGCTTGATTAAACTCAACATTCTGATCATCCAAGGTTCTGCTTCGTCCTAAAACATTTTATAACGTTTAACTTGTCTACTGCAATAATTGTTGCAAATTCTACCTTATTTAATTGCTTCACAGAGTTACTTAATGCATCTTTAGTAGCAAATTGTAGAGTTTTAATTTTACTTATATATTGATGTCTCTGACTGAAAGTTGTTTCACACAGCTTACAAAAAAATCTACTTATTACATCCAATGTGTCCCGATTGGTTTCCTTGACAAAAACAGGTCGTAACACAAAGAGTATGGCATCAAGCTCCTAAAATTATCAAATATCAGAGATGAAAAAGTTTTTTCGAGACTCACATGAGAACTGTTCGTTAATACTACTTCTTGAAAGTGCATAAGCAGTATAATGTTTACTAACAGCTCGACACATTTTGAATCTTCCTTATATTTTCTTAATAGTGATGACATGTTCGTAATAAATACTTTAGTTATGACCAGCGAGTTTGTTTTCGTTTCATCTGTAACAATACTCTATTAGCAAATTCAAATCGATGACCTAAGAGTGGCCGATCTGTGGAACATAAGTGTATCTAAACAGTGCAGTAAAAAAAATAGTGAGCGAGAATAACATTGAGATTAAGAATATGGTGTCGGTCCAAAATGAGAGTACCTACAGTAAATCGAAAAGTAAATTTAAATGTTGGGAAATATGGAAAGGTTCATAGCTATCAGTATAACCCTCTCTGTTAGCCAATCAATAAATAGTAAATTTGACGAGTTTGAAATTTGTTGATTGACTAACGGAAACCGACAAACAGACAACTATATGAACCAGGTTTAGTCAATGATACTTAGGGTGTGAAACTTTATACCATGTGTCGCATTTTGATTGAGAGTCCCAATGTATCACAGCCATTTTTAAAGATAGAGACTTGCGGTTTTCGCGACCCTGTGCCACTTTTTTGTGAAACTTTTAAGAATCAGTACAAAGTTAGACTTTTTGGGATGTTATCATACCTTAATACCCATGTAGATAGAAAAAAGGTAAAAACTGTTTGTTTTAGATATTTTTATGTAAAATCCAGTGGCGTAGTAAAAAAAATTTTTGCCCACCGTTTCTGAGATTTGACCCAAAGGTGTTATTTTTGTATATATTAGCGTAAATTTTTGCATTATTTTTCCTGATTAAGTTGATATATCACAACCTATATTTTTTAAATTTAAGCCATGAACCAAAAATAAGAACCTTATTTTTTACGGTTTTTAAATAATAGGCCATAGGTTTAACGAGATTTTGTTTTGTTTGTTGTATCCATGGCAGCTGATACCACTCAATAAAAATGGCTGACGGTAGAAACATGCCATATCAAAACTGAAAAATATGGTGTAATATACAATTATGTATATAAAAAATATTGGGTGTTGCATTTAAAAAATACGAACATTGGACCAAATCTCAGAAATGGATCTCCATACATTTTTTTACCTACGTCACTGGATTCTACGTAAAAATATTTAAAATAAACAATTTTTACCATTTTGTAGCTTACATGGGTAGTAAGATATGATAATATCCCAAAAAGTCAAACTTTTCGTATTCACCCTGTATCTAAGAAATAAATGTAGCTAGATTGATTATGGTATTAAGTTTCACAAAAAAGTGGCACAAGGTCGCGAAAACCGCAAGTCTCTATCATTAAAAACAGCCGAGATACAGTGGATACTCAACCAAAATGCTGTCGCAGTACGTACACCTGTTATATCTTATATTCCACAATTCTATATACGGATACTTGGGACTTCATTGACGCTTTGAAATGTATACTTACTGGTGCAAGGCTTCATACGATTAATTGAACATTTTCCAGTAACACATTGCTGTACAGAGTCTGACATAATCTCGATTACTATAGGAGCCATTTCAGTTGTACTTTTGTCAGATAACAACCAGTCTATCATCTTAGGCCAATAAGAAATAACTGGCCAAAAATCTAATGTGGCATCGATAAGCAGAGGCACCAATTGTGGTTTCTAACAAATAATAATAGTACAATCTTTATTAGGAAAAGTTCGTTTATAAAAAGCAGTATTCAATGTTCTTCTTATACAATTTTACCTTTTAATAAAATAGCCTTTATAAATATTGCAGAACATATCAATTAAAAAACAGTAGATAATAAACAGGAATATACTTACCAAGCAATAGTATCACAATATTATATAATTACAATAGCGTTAATGTAAATACAAAACATCCGAGTTAATGCATTATCAATAATTTGGTAAAATACTTACGTTCACAGATGCAAACAGGGTAAATTTTCTAAGGAATTCCATATCGGTATCTTTTGCTAGTAGAGTTTTAATAAGAAATTCTCCTGCAGCTTTGGCTAATAAACCATGTTTCCCATACACCAGTAATATTACTTTATTACGAATTTGTTCAGGTAAAATTTCACCATACCTATGAAAGTAATGAATCAACTAACATACATTTCAAGATTTCTCTAAAATACCACATCAAGCATCATTCAAATACCTATACGTAATAAAACTAAAAAGAAATTTTGATAGATAAAGGGAAGGGATCAGAAATCTAGTAAGGGAAAAGAATGCTTCGTGCAATAACAAGTCGTGATAATGGTTCATGTGTTAAAAAATAAAATTGTAAGCGCAAAATTCAATAAACTGTATCAATCAAGGTGCATCAACCTGATGACAACTTTGCTAATCATTTTTGGTACCTATTGGTTATTTTTATATTTCAAATTCTTTTTCTGCACATATGTTTGTGACAAAGTAGGATTACAGGTAAGTACACAGGACCTGGTCAATCCCTCTGCCACCTATAAACAGACTATAGAAAGTTAAAAGTAGGGATACCGCATGGCAGATACCTGGAGGTGAATCTCGCCGCAGAAGAGCTTAAAGCACTTCAGGAGGGAATCCTTGAAGCCATTAGAGACCTGGAAGGAGGAAGGATGCGTCCTCAATTCAGATTCTATCTTCAAACTAGGTTGGTTGCTAGCATGCATGGCTATGCAGACATGTACAGGGTGACCCATTAATAAATGTCACATGTCATATCTATGGAACCGTTAATTGCACCGCTTCAGGAAAAAAATTTTGTTAACGAAAGGGGCCAAGAGAAATCGCTGGAAATTATTTTCAAGTTTCTAGATTCGCCGCTAGAGGGCGTACGATTCATGTTTTTTTTCTAAAATATAGCCAACAAACATGCATAAAAAATACATGCATAGCAATCTCGTATGAATTTTGCATCAATTTGATGCAGCACATATTGCTCTAGCTCATAAAATATGATAGGTGGGGGAAGGGGAACTCGCTTTAAGGAAATGTAAGTTCGGATGTGGTTAACAGATTTTCACATAATAGGTGTTGTTGGAAGGAGCCCTCCTCGTGGAATCCGATTTTACATGAATAGTCCTTTCAGTAAATGTGATGAGTGGTAAAGGGCGCGATGTGACATTAACATAAACTTTGCAGTTTTTTTTTTTAAATTTGAAATGGAACGATACAATTATTATATGATATCAAATAAGATGAAAAAATGAGAATATCAGTGAAAACAGCATTTTGGTATCTGTTTTCTAAGCAGAGCGATATGGGGAAAATACGAACATTCACAAATTTTAATTGCAACATTTATATTCATCCAAGTTGATTTTGAAACAAAAGAAACACAATACCACGTAAAAAACTGTCAAAGTTTATTACAGTCTGTAGCATCCTTTCATTAAATGTATTCGTGCGAATAATTATATCGTTCCATTTGAAATTTTCAAAAAAACCTGCAAAGTTTATGTTAATGTCACATCGCGCCCTCTACCACTCATCACATTTACTAAAAAGACTCTATTGATGTAAAATCGGATTCCACGAGTAGGGCTCCTTCCAACAAGACGTATTATGTGAAAATCTGTTAACCTAATCCGAAGTTACATTCAATTCCCTTCTCTCACCCCTCATATTTTATGAGCTAGAGCAATATGTGCTGCATCAAAATGATGCAAAATTGGTACAAGATTGCTATGCATGTTTGTTGGCTATATTTTAGAAAAAAAGTCATTTTTCTATTTAACCATGCATCGTACGCCCTCTAGCGGCGAAGCTAGAAACTTGAACATAATTTCCAGCGATCTTGGCCCTTTTTGTTAACCAAATTTTTTTCCCGAAGCGATGCAATTAACGGTTGCATAAATATGGCCTGTGGCCATTATTAATGGGACACCCTGTACACAGACGGTTCAAAACAAAAAGATGGTAAAACAGAGATAGGGGTCGGCATCTCAAACTGTTGAATCTCGGAATCACTGGGACAAAAAGCCACCGTCCTTCAAGCGGAGGTCTATGCACACTGGCCAAACAAGGACCCAGGACGAAGCTTCAACCCTCATCGGGAAAAACCTATGGTCCATTATAGGGCTGTTCACAGGCTGTATACTGCTCAAATACCATCTACATAAGATCGGCGCAGTGGATGAGGGAACATGCAGTCTTTGTGGACTGGCAGATGAAACGGCTGAACACATTCTATGTGGATGAGAGGCTGCTGCCGAGTAGAATGATTCTTAAAACCAGGTATGCGCAATAGGAACATTTCTTATTTGTAGAGCAATTTGATCGAAATTTTTGTTGTATGTTCCTCTAATAAAACCAAACAGGCGGACGTACCAAAAAATGTTATCGTCTCATGCCTTGGCACCCGACTCAGGACCTACTGCAGTGTCACATTCTGAAGTTCTGAGCCAGATCCCTTTCTTTTTGTCCCTTCTTTCCTTCCTTTTGAATTTTTATCTGTAAAGATTTCCTTAAATCCAGTAGCCTGTCCTGTTTAAAAAGCAGAAGTTCTTTCTACTCTTCATCTGAAAGTTTGTCCGCTTGCTCCAGTATTTTTTGTACCTCCATCTGTCATTCAGTAGATATAGGTAACCACATCTCCTTATAATTGCATAACCATAAACACTACTCAATAATTTTTATTCACCTTTACAGAGATCTTCAACAAAGTTTGAAAACAGGCGAACTAAAATATACTTCTTTTCGTTTTCTCCAACTGGACATGGCACATGATCAATATCGTAATTCAATGAATAAAAATGTGTATTTATTATTGCTCTAAGTCAGGGGTTGGTAACCTATTAAAACGGAAGAGCCAAAAATTACAATTTACAAAATTTCCCAGTTTTTAAAGTCACAAAAAATTTTTGATTCAATATTATAATATTTGGCTATATACAGGGTCCTGCAACAGTGTGTCGGTTTTTCCTACATAGCTGATACCTGGTAAAAAATATTGGTGGTTGCGGATCTACAGAAATTATTTTTGAATGTACAGGGTATCCCATTTTTACGATTTCAATAAATAACTGATCTTTTTAAACAGAACATATGCATATTTTTACTTGTTTCAATGTCATTTGTTCAAAGTGCAATAACTATTCTTTTTCAAATGGAACTACCACTATTTTATTTCGCTATTCGATTGTTTTTTGTGTTCTCTTCAATGTTTATAAGGGGTGCCCTGTGCTAAAACCCCACAGTTTTTATGTTAAGTCAATATTTTCACAAAAGTACCTACTCATTAATTAATTACGTGTTTATACATCGGATTAGGCTGCTATTATAAAAAAACAAAAGAATACCAGAAAGTAAACAAGTGTCACAAATTAGATAATTATTTGCTGCAAGTGTAGATTAATTAAAAAGGCGAATTTCGAAAAAATGAATTAATTTCTTTAGATAAATACGGAGAGCCGCAACTTTATATCAAAAGAGCCGCATGCGGCTCGCGAGCAGCAGGTTGCCGACCCCTGCTCTAAGTATATGGACAAACAAAATGTATAAGATGACTAGGAATACCACTAACTGACACAGTACCGGAAAGGAATTATATGTCAAATTTGAGAATCAAACTGACAACCACAAAGCTTATAGGAGCAATAAAAATGTCGTTTTTATTACCACACAATGTTTTATAATATGGGTGGCACTCCTTGGTTACCAACGTTTCGGATCGCATCAACAGCCATCTGCGTGACCTAACAACGTTAGTGGTATGACTGTCGGGATCGTCAGCTTTACATGCCCTCCAAAGCATGATAAATCAGATGATGTTCTGTACCATTAAAAACTGGCACGCAACACATCCGTTTTTTGGATTATTTAAAACCGCTCCCTTTCCCACTCACCCACCAACAAAGACAATAGGAGATCTGACCGATACCACCGAACCACATTCATCGATAGATGACATTGGAAAAATTCCTTACTTACCTATCTAATATAGTAGTTAATATCTGTACAGCTGAGACTGCAACTGAATAGTCGATGTCGTAAACTCTATTTGCTACAACCCCACACATTGTGTGGTATAAATTAGCCATATGTTCAGAGAAACAGTCGTTTGTAATCAATTCACGGCAAATTTTTAGAGCGGCAATACGGACCTGTTTTGCCTGAAACAAAAATGTAAATACAGTTCTCTCTCACACCAATCCCGCTTACAGTATCCTGGACAAGCCACATTAAACGATTAAAATACTTTGTCGAGTCAAATAGTGTTGGATCTATTTGAAACCAAGAGCACATCTCATGAAGGAAGGTAATTTTCATGGCATTTAACTGTACATCGTTTAAATGGCTAAAAATAAATTTAAGACTAAAGCAAAACTGTGCTTGAAAAAATTACCAGTTAGCCTCGATACAATCTTGAAGAAGCAATAACAACTGAAGCAAGATGTTTTTATCTTTCCTCCGATGGTTAATATTCTTTTTTTCCAGTTGTGTACAGAGTGTTAGTATGGTAGTATAAATTTTAATCGCTGTAAATAATATACCAACTTTAATTCGTGCCACATCCTGAACACCTTCTTACTTAAAACAACGCCAACATGACGCAACGCTCTATTAACGCTTTTGCTGATGGATAAAATAACGGCAAAGACATGAGCAAAATCCTTGCCATATAAGATATCGTGTTGGTGTATCATTCCTATTAACGTTTGCACAAATTGAAATATGGACTCTTGCGCAAACTTACCCCACCCACTGCGGGTGTTAAACAGATACTTTCCAGTTTTCTGAAATCATACAGTTACATTAATTCTAATAAAATGACATAGGTAGTAGCATTTTTGCGGGACGACCCTCCTAACAGGTCAAGCAGTACCTAATAGTGATCAGTCAAATACTGCAGCATCCAATCTGTTCCATTCAATAAACTAACAAGACAGTTAAACAAGAACAGGTATATTGCGGTATATGATATGATAGTAATGAAATTCACAAAACTAACCAACTGTAACTGTGGTGGGTGGTGCTGTAAATGGTTCAATAGTTCGACATAATTTGCATGGTCCATCTGAAATTTTTCAGTAAGGCTAAATTCTTCATATCCACAGGCATCCAGTATAAATTGGATAATGGTAACAATTGCTTTATCTGGTTGTTTATGGTAAAGTTGCACCCATTTTATCGCCTCCTCCTAAAAAATATACAAATCATTCTTGACCATAATTATAGGTACCTCCTGTTGATAGTTAATTCAGAATTTCAGTTGTTTAATTTTTAATATTTAGGGTAAAAAATGAACTCTGCCAAGGCGACCCTTTATATCAACGCTCATGTTGTTCTGGAAAAAATTATTGAGTCAGTTCAGTAAATAGGGAACACCTGATACAAAAGTTACAAAATAGTGGCATATACTCTGATACCATCGTGCTTAGAAACCCAAGATATTCTCAAAAGCATAACCAAGAAGATGATTATCTGCCTTAGACATGATACTGCGAGTAAACCAGCAAAAAATTTATAATTTTTTATATTAAGGGTAGGAAAAATAATAAGAAGGGAAGCAATGGAAATATAGCATAAAGAGGGAAAGCAAGGTTTGAACAATTAAACGACCCTGGAGGTAATTAAAAAAAAGAAGATTGCAATGGTTAGGTCTCAGAGAGAATGCAGGACAGTAAAATTGTAGCATTGAAAGAGGCAATCTAAAAAATGAAGCAGGGCAGACCAAGAATCCCATGGAGACAGTTGACCTAAAAGATAAAGAATTTTCTCAAGAATTGGAATTAAGGACAAAGCAAAAGACAAGAATTGTAGATGGAACAAAATTTAATCAGGTCAGGGCTACGATTGGAAGGAATGGAGACAAGAAACGATGCTACTCCAAAATTTTCCTCCTAGATTCCTGCATATAATGCTTAGCATTATGTGAAGCTATGTATATCTGAGGAAAACTCCCTAGTACATCCCAGACAGAAAAATCAGCAGCAGGATACGACCCCACAGCCTCCCAGTAAATCCCAGTTGCAAATGTTTAGCAGTACAATGTCAAGCCTCGGTTTTACTCTACAACTAACTTGGATTTCAGTTTCAAGACAGTTATTGTTTTATGGCCCACTATTTTTGTTTAAAAATAAACTTGATTACCTTTCATTGCAGTATAAAACCAAATGAAAAAAAAAGTACTAATTTACATACCTCTCCGTTAGAATTTGTGATAATAGAGCCAAAAAGTGATTGATGATTACGTGGCTTAAATAGCACCCAATCCTCACCCTTACGAATCACCTTCCGTGTTTTAATATCTGTATGAAAATGGAAACGAGATAAATCAATAGGTAATTATTGCTTGAGGTACTTACTACGTTCACTTTCTGATTCAGAGAGCCCTAATACATTTGAAGTACTGCTGGTATTTGCACTTTCATTTCGGACAAAAGGCATTAAACGAGTTGACAATCGTACGCTTTCATTAACTGTTGGTAAAGCCAATTGTGTCGTGGTGATTTTGCGTTTCCTTTCTCTAACAGTAACACCATCATCACTCGCCCTTTCTACCTCTGATAAATCTTCAAAATCCAGGTATTTACTGACGTCTACTCCATTTTTCTTAGGGGTGCTGCAAGTTTTTTGAAAGGAATGCAATGATTGGGACGCGACAGGGCTTAAGTTGGCCCGTTCAGACATGCTACTTTATTTTTTCTACACACTATACTACTTCAATTCCGCGATTTCACAAAAATTATGATTTAAACACGACTTCTATACTGCAGAAACGCACATTCAGCAGATTTGAGTTTGTTCGAAATCCGTACCCGATCTCAGGAATTTACAGTTTGGAGGGAACGAATGCCATAGGTTGATAATTTACGTGAAACTATAGATATACAGTTCAAATATTATACAGCGCAACCATTTATCCTACTAGTTAATTCTTTAAACAAAAAAGATGACTGATTTAATTCAATACTTTTTTAGGCTATCATCACAAAAACGTTGATTTTATGGTCGCTTTTGCGGCCATAAAGTTTCACTTTATTGTACGCTTCTGTCAAACTTTACTTTATTGTACATATCTGTCAAACTGTACTTATTTGAAACTGATGTTTGAGAAACAGTAATCTGTTTGATACAAAGCGTCTATCCTCGCCCCATCAAGGATTGGGCCATCCACGTGCGTTTTTTTCATTTTCGGACTTGTAGGAATGTTTCACACCATTTTACATAATCACAATGTTCACATTTAAAATTATAGTTTGACGTTTCAATCTTTGCTGCTTGCAGACCTTTTTGAAGTGTAGAACCAAAACATGAGGAAGATGTTATTGCTTACATTATTATACGAAGAATCACCAGCAATTAACCGAAAACACAAGTAGCTACCTATACCTACCATCAAAGTAGGTAATCAGGTTTCTAATAATTGTACAGCATGTTAACTATAAGGTCTTGGAAGCCACAGTTACGAAGGACCTATTGACATTATTAAAATCTTGTGCAACGGAGGAAGTTGCGATTGTACTTTTACTCTCAAACGCCTGCTCTTATATCATATATGACATAGGGTCGCAACGCTTGCAGCTTCCAAAATTTCATTTTGGGTACGTATCTGAACTGTCGCTATCACCCATTTTGATACGCACAAAACACACGCAAAGATGCTAATTATAATTTATTACATATGACAGGAAATGCTTTGTTTTTAATTGTCTAAGATAACTATGATTTTCAGAAAAAATATGTTTATAGGCAAATTTTTGAATTCTTTTTTGATGATCGCCTAAAAAATGTTGTGTGCACCTTGGCCAAAAGTGATTTGTTAGGCCTCATCTGAATTGCGGCCTCATCGGCTATCGCCTCGGCCACAAACAGCAGCTTCGGCCAAAAAAGATCACTTTTACGGCCTTGGTACACAAATAACTATTTTAGGCTATCATCATAAAAACCTTGATTTTGTGGTCGCTTTTGCGGCCATAAAGTTTCACTTTATTGTACGCTTCTGTCAAACTACTTTATTGTACACATCTGTCAAACGGTACTTATTTGAAACTGATGTGTGAGAAACAGTAATCTGTTTGATACAAAGCGTCTATCTGGTCTAGCCCCATCAAGGATTCGGCCATCCACGTGCGCGTTTTTCATTTTCGGACTTGCAGGAATGTTTCACACTATTCTGCATAATCACAATGTTCACATTTAAAATTATAGTTTGACGTTTCAATCTTTGCTGCTTGCAGACCTTTTTGAAGTGTAGAACTAAAACATGAGAAAGATGTTATTGCTTACATTAAGTATTATACGAAGAATCACCAGCAATTAACCGAGAACACAAGTAGCTACCTATACATACCATCAAAGTAGGTAATCAGGTTTCTAATAATTGTACAGCATATTAACTATAAGGTCTTGGAAGCCACAGTTACGAAGGACGTATTGCATTTGACATTATTAAAATCTTGTGCAACGAAGGAAGTTGCGATTGTACTTTTACTCTCAAACGCCTGCTCTTATATCATATATGACTTAGGGTCGCAACGCTTGCAGCTTCCAAAATTTCATTTGAGGTATCTGAACTGTCGCTATCACCCATTTTGATACGCACAAAACACACGCAAAGATGCTAATTATAATTTATTACATACGACAGGAAATACTTTGTTTTTAATTGTCTAAGATAACTATGATTTTCAGGAAAAATATGTTTATGAGCAAATTTTTGAATTCTTTTTTGATGATCGCCTAAAAAATGTTGTGTGCACCTTGGCCAAAAGTGATTTGTTAGGCCTCATCTGAATTGCGGCCTCGGCTGCCGCCTCGGCCACAAACAACAGCTTCGGACAAAAAAGATCACTTTTACGGCCTTGGTACACAAATAACTATTATTGTCCATAACAAAGTAAAATAAACTATAAATGTTTGAATGGCTTTGACCGTAAAATAGCACTGTATATAGTGTTGAAATAAATATAGTTACCTATTCAATTTATTGTAACTATGATACGATAAAATATTTAGTTCATCTGTCATAATTATACAATATACACGTTTTCAGTTTATTGCTCTAATAGTTTCAACATGGTAGCAAGATAGTGATAGAATATAAGAATGTTAATAAGAAGGATTAAATTAATATTTTTATTTTCCTTCAAAACATTAAATTGACAATACTTTTTCTTTATTATTGTTACTATGCCAACTAAAATTATAATCAGGTATAGGTAATGATTTGTAACATTCTCCCCCAGAAAAGATTCTTCCCCGGAAAAGATAATCAAACATTATAAATACAATTTTAGAATGAAATTAAAACTAAAATTATGTTACTAAATAAACTTATTCCGCATATCTAATGGGAGGTCGAATAACTCTACCTTTACTGGTTACAACTAAACCATCTATTTTTGATGATTCATTGTTCGTATTACGATTAAACTCGGGTTTTGGGTCATTTTTAGGAACATCTATATTTAATTCTAGAGGATATAGTTTTTGAACAGCCCTAATTATAAAACCGTTTTGGCATTTTAACTTTGCTGTACGAATCACACCATCTTTACTTATAAATACTTCCACTATACGTGCGATAGGCCAATTCTGGCGTTTCTTATTCGAATCTTCACATAATACTAAACTAATTCACCTACTTGTAAAGGTCGTGTAGTTTTGCGACTCTTCTTTAATAGTAAAGTTAAATATTCTTCGATGAAACGCTTCTTAAATTCCTGGCGTAATTCACACAAATAAGCCGCTCTCCCGGCCAAATTTTGAAATTCGGGAAGTTCCTGATTTCGTAATTCATGCAAAAATAAATCGGGTGTAATTGGACATAAATCATAAGGATTGTTAAGTAAATCAAGTAAAATATACTTTTATGTTCCTAATGTTTTCTGTGTTATGGTTCCTTTAACTGATAGCGAGATGTCGCTGTGTGTACTATTTTGTAAAACGGAATTTCTGTTCTTTTTGTAGTTGCTTGAAAATGTTATAAGATGAAGGTCGTCATTGAATTGAATTGAACGCATTTGTGCAAATAAAGAATGTACGTTGTCTTTTGGGCATTATTATTTATTTTAACATGGTAGCAGAGCGTGGTTTGAAGATTTAAGAAAAAGTAAAGTGATCTTGGTGAAAAATTTACGTTTCATTGTTACGTTCTAAAGGAAAACTTTTTTACGATGCCACTCATGAAATACGACGACGTTGTTATACCCATATTTGATGGTGTGGATTATGCAAACTGGAAGATACGTTTATGTAAGTTTTTGGAATTTAAAAAATGTAAAGAAGTAGTTATTCGTGATAAGACTGATGCAGATAAAGCCGAAGATTGGAATTATATGGAAATTAAGGCTATGAATTATATATACAGCGCCATTTCTAACAAGCAGTTAGAATATGTGTCCGATCTGGATTCAGCTCGTAAAATATTGCTAAAGTTTGACGAGATGTACAACCGACAGTCAACAGCACTTCAGATTGTGCATCGAAGTGCAATCGAGAATATTAAACTGGACAATTACTCCGACGTAAATTCCTTTTTCGATTCCTTTGAAAAGGGGATAAATGATTTGAAAGCTGCGGGAGCTATCGTGAAAGAAAGTGAAAAGTTGAATTATATGTTGAAGGCGTTGCCGAGCTCGTACAGTTATATTGGAGACCTTATAGATGTACTTCCCGAAACAGATAGAACATGTGAATTCTTAAAGCAAAAAATTAAGCTGAAGTCGTTGGAGAATGGTCAGCGATCGACTACCACTGCCGAAGGAAGGTCAAATGTTTTTATGGCATCTAGTCATTCTAAGCCAACATATCGGGAACAACGATGTTATTCTTGTGGAAATTTCGGCCATATACAGAAGTATTGCAGAGGCAGAGCAGGATCAAGTTACAATACGTCACGTGACCAGTCCCAAAGCAATCAGGGTACCTATGGGCCAGGTATTAACCGTGGTAATTTCCGAGGCAGGCGTTTTCAAGGTAGGCGAGGCAGGGGGCATTTTCAATCCGAGGGTCAATCAGCTCAACACAACCCAAACAGCAGTGTTTTTATGGTAAATGTAAATGACGGTGAAACTGTAAGTAGTGAAATTTGTAATGAAGTTTATAATGGTAATGAAGTTACTTGGGTGCTTGACAGTGGGTGTACAGACCACATAATCAATAATGACAAATATTTTTCTGAATGTATTATCTTAAAAACTCCTAATAATGTTAAACTTGGAGATGGTCGAACACTACAGGCAACCAAGATAGCTACTGTTTTGTGTAATTTCTTTGTATATGATAAAGTCTCAACTGTAACAATTAAAAATGTTTTCTTTGTAGAAGAAATGAATAATAATCTCTTAAGTTACAGTAAAATTACTAAAAATAACAAAATTATATCCGAAGCTGATGTTAGCAAAATTTATAATAAACAAGACGAGATAATTGGAATAGCCAAAAAACGTAATAATCTGTATTACATAAAGTGTTTTTTAGTTCAAAAGGAAATCAATGCTAATGTAATTATTAAGAACAAAGTTGAAACTGAAAATAAAATGTTGCTTAAAGAAAAATGGCATAGAACATTAGGCCATATCAACTTTAATTCATTGAGTAAGCTTTGTAAAAGTAATTTGGTTGAGAATCTGCCTGAAAATCTTGAAAATAATTTTATGAGATGTGCAATTTGTATTGAAAATAAGATGCATAACTTACCCTTCCAAAACACTAGATCAAAAGCAAATGACATACTTGAAATAATTCATACTGATTTAAATGGACCTCATAGTACTGTTGGGAGCAATGGTGAAAAATATTTCTTAACTATCGTAGACGATTATAGTAAATTGATTAAGGTTTT